CCTTCTTTCACCCTCTTCCTCCTCCCCGCCCTCGTCCCCCTTCCCTCTGTCACCCCTTTTCCCTGCATTCAATCACCCCCCTCTTTGGTCTCCTTCACTCTATCTGATGTCAACTTGTCATTTTCTCCCTGCATGTGAAGCATTTCTTACACGCACATGCATCCGAATGCATCGATGCAGCCCTTATCCATTTTCCCCTCCCCATGGGATGGACACGAGATTCAAACCATAATTGCAAAATGCGTGAGACATTGTCCCAGCTTTTGAGCCTGGAGAGGCAGTAATACATCCACCTCATGGTAAGGTCCAGCAGTGCACGACCAAGTTTAGTTCGAGTCTTCTCCGTGGACTGCAAGTGTTGTGAAGGACTTGCAACAAGCTGCTTTCTCGGCCAGCATGCAATTCGCATTGCACCCAACCACGTGAAGGAAATGGACTGCAATGCAACCGATGCTGTGGCTGCTGCAAGGCAGGGAAATCGCTGTGCTAATGCCTGAAAGTGGATGCATGACACAAGCTAGGCAGCACCTACGTGGCCTCTGAATGGTGTAAAGGATGTTATGCTGTAGCTTCAAACTTATGACCATCTGAATGGTTCGATGTTTGCAGTTCGATGTTCGATGCCTGCTCTGCTGGGAACAGGACTGCAATGGTTCGATGTTTGCAGTTCTACATACCGTACCAATAACAATTACCGTATCCAAATCCTTTTTAAATTCTTTTGAGACTTCTTAGATGTTCAGACAAGAGAATGCACTACTTGAAGTACCGTACCGCTTGCAAACCGCTGCTGGCTGCAGTCTTGCCACAGCGCCAGCTACAACCATGCCACGCGCTGCTGTGCCTGGACGAGAAAAAATGACATGGGTTTGACAGAACATGGAAATCACGCAGAAAGGTGAGGCCGATCGTAATGATTTGAGAATGCACAAAAGGCGAGAGGAGAGAAAATAATGGTTAGCCAAGCATAGAGTAAGGAGTGGAAGAGGAAGAGACAGAGTGAGTGCTTCAGAGAGGTCTCAGAGGTGGGAGAAGATTAAAAGAGCGGCAAAATATATGGAGATGGGGAGCACCTAAAGAAGGAGAAGGTGTTAATATTGGAAAAGAGAAGCTCACATGGACAAATCAGGTTGGTGCGGCAGACACAGACACACGTTTGGCTACCTCAAAAGCACCTGAGCTCGCCTGACCGAGCCAGGTGGATAAGGCAGATGAGTGCTCCCCTGACCATGCGCCTCTCAGAAGGCAAGAGAGGAAGTGGGGGTAGTGGAAGAAGCATCACAAGTTGAAATTGAAACAAAAAGCTCACCTGATTGAGCCAGATGGGTGAGGCAGGTGAGTGCTTCCTTGATCGTGCGTCTCTCCGAAGGCGAGAGAGGAAGGGGGGCGAGTGGAGGAGGAGCAAGCGGAGGAGGATGGGAGGAGGGAGGAGGGGTAGATTCAGTGTGGTGAAAAGGGGATTTGAGGAGGAGCAGGAGGTGTGGAAGGGCTCCGGCTTCCATGATTTTCATGCGAGTCTCATCTGGTGGGGGAGAGAAGGAAGGAACGAAGAGGAATAGGGAGAGAGCAGCAAGGTGAGTAACATGCTGCAGGTGCCAAGGGGCTTGGGATGGATGAGGCTAGGGAAAGAATCTGCTAGTCTGACTCACACTATGTTGGCCTTTCATAATATCAGTTGTGCAGGCAGAAGCGTTTGAGGCAGCCACATGCACTTGGTTTTTTAGTCAAACTTGACTTTTGGGTCAAACTTGGCTTTTGACCAGAACTTGACTTCTGGGTCAGAACTTGGTTTTGACAAACGAAAAAGAGGTTCTGGGTAGGAACTTGGCTTTTGGTTCCACGCTTGGCGTTCACTTCATAACTTTCCTTTTGGTTCAGAACTTGGCTTTTGTGTAAAACTAGGCTATTGGGACAAAATGTGGATTTTTGTAGCAGAACTTGGCCCTTATGTTTGGGTTTTGGGCCAAAACTTGGTATTGGGCCAAAATTTGGTTTCTGGGTCACAACTTGGTTTTTGAGTCACAACTTGGTTTTTGGGTCACAACTTGGGTGTGATCGAACCCTGGCTTTTGCGTAAAAGCTGGAGCTCACAATTGGAAGCAATGAAGGCGAGGCGGTACGCTCCTGATCGCCTGAGGAAAGGGTCCTTTGCCCTGAGGAGAGCAACTGAGTGGTGAATGAGCGAGTCTCCTGAGTGCACGGGAGGGAGCATGCGGACGGGAAATCAGCCTGCAGAATTGCATGAGCTGAGATGGCACTCACGAAATAAGATGAGATGGTACTGACATAGCTGAAATGGCACTGACTTGACACTCGCATGAGCTGAAAGACACTTGCATGCGTTGAGATGACATGGCACCCGCATGAGCTGAAAGACACTTGCACGAATTGAGATGACATGACACTCGTTGCATAAGCTGAAAGACACTTGCATGAGCTAAGATGACATGGCACCCGCATGAGCTGAAAGACACTTGCACGAATTGCGATGACATGGCACTCGTCGCATGAGCCGAAAGACACTTTCATGAGTTGAGATGACATGGCACTTGCATGAGCTGAGATGACATGGCACTTGCATGAGCTGAAAGACACTTGCATGAGTTGAGATGAGATGGCACCCGCATGAGCTGAATGACACTTGCACGATTGAGATGACATGACACTCGCATGAGCTGAAAGACACTTGCATGAGTTGAGATGACATGACCCTCGCATGCGATGAGATGACACTCATCCATGAGCTGAGATGACACTCACCCATGAGCTGAGATGACACTTACCCGCGAACTGAGATGACACTCACCCATGAGTGGAAACGCGTTAATGGCGACCTCAACAATGGTGGCAGCAACAATGAGCTTAAAGCCCCAGTGCGACCGCCACCTCAGATTTTCCTCGTCCGTCGACTCATATTCCTCCCTCTCCCCTCCTTCCCCCCTGCTCCTGCCATCTCCTCCCCTCTCTGCTTCCCCCTCGTCTTGCGCTCCTCGTTGCTACTTGTATATCTCTCTCCCTGCTCCCCCCCCTTGATTTTTTTCTCTCCAACTGATCGCGCCTTCGCTGCGTCCGGCGAGCTGGTGCTCACGAGGCTGGTTACCAGACGCCTCTGCTGGCCAATAAGCAGACATTCGCTACCTGCTTCGCCATTCACGATTCTGGTAACCACTGAGCTCTGTCGTGACAGGGAGACAACAGAGGGTGTCGCCGCAACGCTGGATCTTCTTTCTAGATGTTGTCTTGCGAGCCGGGGACCTACTCTAGTCCAGCGGCAAGACTCCTTCGCCTCGACAACCCACTGCGCGTACGGGGAGCGGTGGCGACGGAGATCAGACGCGGGGATGCAACCAGAGAGGCCTCCATGGTCCGCTGGTCCTCCTGCTCGCGCTATTGTGTCGCATGATCGAGCAATAGCGGCCAAAAGCGGTGCTCCTGCTCCCTCCCTTGCCCCCTCTCTTGCTTCCTCGGCCCCGTGAGCAGAGCTTCCAAGCCGCTCACACGCCGCAGGAAGATCGACGGATGTCTGAGGCCGAGAAGCGCAGAGACGATCTGATCCGTTCACAGCAAACCCACAAACCCCTTGAAGCGACGCGCGTACGGAATCGGAACAAAGACGCTTTGTTACGGAATATGAGGATAAGCTAACGAGAGATCGGTCTACGAGATCGATTGCCTGCCTGCTCTGGGTGCATGTTCGGCGAGAGATTCTGGCAGCAGCTATGGATCCAAGGCGAGGGAGCGCTGGTTGCAGAAACCAGATTTGACATATACTCGTACATTCCAGGCGGTGGTTCGAGCCATTTTACATTTCAGGCAGTGGTTCGAGTCATTTTCCTTGTGAAAGGATCTTCATATGTTCAGATCCGAATGCCTGAGTTGCTCTGTAACTGCACGGTAACATGTGTAGACACAAACTGCTCCGAGTACATTTGGAAGCGAATGTTGGTACATAGGATCGTCGGAAAACCGCAATGCATCATGTGCTGTACAAGAATTCGATTAATTGGTTTTTTTCGTGGACCCATGTACCTTCTTGAACACAAATGTACCGCGTCCTTAGCACACATCCAAGGGAACTCCTTAGAGTGCAGAACGGCAGAACCAGTGCCAACCACAAGCCGTTGATGCATACCTGCATAGCAAAAATCGGGAACACCGATTCTGTTCGGCATTTCCCCTAAAATTGCTGGGGGTTGCCTTGGTTAGGCCATAACTTTAGTATCCCAACATATTCTAGCTTGCGGTGCCATAGACAGTGTTCGATACGCGCGGTGCACGCGGTGACTAACGCGGCATGGAGGACGAGATGGAGGAGATGAACTGGGGGGTGAGCAACCATCCCTTAGCGTGGTAGCTTTGCTCGTTCTAATCGTTAGCCTGCTCTCTTAGTCGTTGGAATGGCTTCGCTTTGCGCTCCGCGACTCGATATGTCGCTATCGATTAAGAGCTGATTGTCTGATGGGATAGTAAGATACATCGCGGAACGGTTGAACTTTTTATTTTTGTTCCTTCATTCTATGTTTTCATTGCTCTAACTCGGTAGTGACAAGCGAAGTTTCCGGTTGACTTTTCGCGCATGAGTCGTAGCGTCGTCCTGTCACTTCCACACTCGTCGACTCCAGTCGTCGTGCTCTTGTCGCGGGGCGATTCGCTGCTTGCACCACAACAAAGCAGCGCTAGTCGAAAGAGAATACTGTGCCCGGGAACGTTTCTTAAATCATGGCAGCGTTTAAACAGGGAAAAAGTTCTCACATTGCTTCGATTAAAAAGAGCTGCACCTATTTCCCTTGACTATATATTTTGCTTTTCCCCGACTAATGACTCTCTCGTCAATGGTGAAACCAGACCAGACTGACACGTTTCTTTCTGAACCATAATTTTGCGCTTCCTCTCCCGTTCCTTTATCAAATTCTTCTGCGTTTTCGCCTTCCCCATAACGCTCGTCTGTGTTCCGTTACCCTCGCCTCACCCTTCGACCCGCGCGGTGGAGCTTCGGCTGGATGGCACTAACAACGTCCCCGTCTCATCCTATTCCCTCTTTCTCAGCCCATTTCCCCATTTTCTACCGTTTCCCACCTTTTTCCCCCTTCCCCCTCCCCCCCTCTTCTCTCCTTCCCGCCGCCTCCCCTCAACCGCACATTTTCCCCTCGTTCCCCCCTTTCCCCCCCCCCCTCCGCTTTCGTGTTCAGGCGGTAGAGGACTGGCCGTCCGTACATCCAGGACGTGTGGAAGGAGCCACGATTAGACGCACCGCTTTTTCTTTGCCCGTGTCATTTTGACTGACCTTCTTTTCTCACCCGAACTCCCACCCCACCCTCCCCTCCCCCCACCACCTGCTCCCCCTATTTTCCTCTCCACTTCCCGCTAAGGACGTGGAGGACCAGCGACCGGGCATTCAAGAAGTGTGGAAGTGGAAGGAACCAACCACGGTTCAACACACTTTGATATTTATTTGAGGCAATTTCCTTCTTCCATTCTTGTTCCCGCCTACTTCCTTCCCCATCTCCCCCCAGGCCGTGGAGGACCAGCTATCGGGCATCCAGGACGTGTGGAAGGAGCCGCGGTTTGACACGCTGCCGCACGTGGTGGCGGTGCTGACGTCAGGGTATCCTCAAGATGACATGGCGAGCCTGGCGAAGCTGAGAGACACCATCGAGGTGCTCGTGGACGACGTCGTGCAGGCGTATCATCAGGGCTTTAACAAGGCCATTCACAACTACTCGCAGGTGGGTTGCTTGCTGTTGTAACTTGTAAGTACGTGTGTAGGTATGTGTGTTACTAGATCGAGGTGCTCGTGGACGACATCGTGCAGGCTTACCACCAGGGCTTTAACAAGGCCATTCACAACTACTCGCAGGTCGGTTGCTCGCTGTTGTATGTGTGTATGTGTGAACCTATGTTATAGTGTTACCATCGAGGTACTTGTGGACGACGTCGTGCAGGCTTACCACCAGGGCTTTAACAAGGCCATTCACAACTACTCGCAGGCCGGTTGCTCGCTGTTGTATGTGTGTATGTGTGAACATATGTTCTAGTGTTACCATCGAGGTGCTTGTGGACGACGTCGTGCAGGCTTACCACCAGGGCTTTAACAAGGCCACTCACAACTACTCACAGGTCGGTTGCTGTTGCACGAGTATATATGCTAAAACTATATAAATTTGGACATACATAATACGTATATGAGACTCCGCCTCCTCACTCCCACCCCCAGATTTGGATCGGAAGCTGTTTGTCAAGTCAGCAGAGCAGGCGAGCTTGCTGAAGGCGAGTCTGGCGGAGAGGCTGCAATGGCTATCATATCCGTGCGCATGACCATGCACCATTCACCACCACACACCGTCTCTCTGTCTCCTTCCACCGCTCGGCCCCTTTCCCTTGTCTCCCCCACCCACCCGCTCCTCCCACCAGATTCTGAAGCTGTTCAGCGAGTCGGCGGAGCAGATGAGCGAGCTGAAGGCGAGTCTGGCAGGGAGGGTGTCACGGCTGTCCACACTCATGACCATGCATGCACCATGCACCGTCCATGTCCCCTCCCCTCTCTGCCCCGCTCCCGCTACCTCCAGATTCTGAAGCTGTTCAGCGAGTCAGCGGAGCAGATGAGCGAGCTCAAGGCGAGTCTGGCGGAGGCGAGGCGGCTGCTGAGCAACCGGCACAAGCAGCTGCAGCAGCTGTGGTGCCGATCAATCACGCTGCGCCACGTCATCTCCCTTATCGACCAGATCGACAGCGTCTCCAAGGCACGTGCATGCATACACATGTGATGCACAAGCACTAGTGACTTCTCAGCAGCGAGTTACGTCATATCTCATATCATATGGTATCTTATATCATATCATATTGCGTCGTGTCGTATCGCATCGTATCATATTGTTTCGTATCGTATCGTACTCGATTGTTCAATCCAACCACCACGCCATGCCAGCATCCATTCATGGACCACCAAATTGTCAGCCTCGTGAACTGCGGCAATGGCACCGCTCCGCGTTCTCCCACACTGCCATTTTTTGGCATCCAGTAGTATCTATCTGCACCGCACAGTGCCGTGCCACCAGGTCGACAGCCTCATGTCTTCTCTCCCCCCATTCTCCCCTGCAAACTCCCTTCTCTCCCCCCATTCTTTCCTGCCAACTCCCTTCTCTCCCCCCCGTTCAAATCCATCCAACTTCTCCGTCCCCTTCTGTGCAGGTGCCGCGCATAGAATAGCTGGTGTCGTAGGGGCAGCTGTATGCTACTGTGCAAAATCTTCTCTCCCATTTTCCATTCTTTCCTGTATCCGCCCTATGAACCTCCCCCCCTTCCTCCCACGCCCCCCTTCCACCCACACCCCTCCCCTCCCTCTTTCATTCCCTCCTGTGCAGGTGCCAGCGCGCATAGAACAGCTGGTGGCGGAGGGGCAGCTGTATGCTGCCGTGCAGATTCACCTGCAGTCCATCTCCACGCTCGACAGAGAGGGCATCTCCCAGGTGAAAACAACAGACAGCATGGTTGCCAGGTGAAAACCAGAGAAACAACATCTGCCAGGCAAGGCTTCACTAACAAGCGCCTACCTTGATTGTGGTAGTCATATGATACGACAGTTCTTGATTGTGCCATGGCCCATTGAGCGAGTGAGTGCATGACATGTGGGTCCATGGGGGGACACATGCGGGGAGAGTTGGCGCATGAGTCATGACATGTGGGTCCAGACTCCAGTGACTTGCAGCCTCTCATCCCAAGCTAGGGAGACACTGCTTCTGATTATTGGGGAGATCTTCAGTCTTTTCAAGATTTCAGTCTATTCAAAAGATTCAGTCTATTCTATGCTCTCAGAGTCCCCCCCACTCTCCATATTCCACTCCACTCCATGCAGATCGGAGCGCTGAGGGACATTCGCAACGAGCTGGCGAACACGAAGCTGCTGCTGTTCAACCGCGTGATAGAGGAGCTGCACGCGCACCTGTACAACAAGGGGGAGCACAGGTGGGTGGGTGTGGTGGGGCATGGACGTTTGGGTATACACGCATGCACACATCTATGCTGCTGCTGTTCAACCGCGTGATAGAGGAGCTGCACGCGCACCTGTACAACAAGGGGGAGCACAGGTGGGTGGGTGTGGTGGGGCATGGACGTTTGGGTATACACGCATGCACACATCTATGCTGCTGCTGTTCAACCGCGTGATAGAGGAGCTGCACGCGCACCTGTACAACAAGGGGGAGCACAGGTGGGTGGGTGTGGTGGGGCATGGACGTTTGGGTATACACGCATGCACACATCTATGCTGCTGCTGTTCAACCGCGTGATAGAGGAGCTGCACGCGCACCTGTACAACAAGGGGGAACACAGGTGAGTGGTGGTGTGAACCGGTTTGTGTGTGTGCTGTGCACGTGCATGTGTGTATCTGTGCCACCAACCTGCTGCTGTTCAACCGTCCATGTGACAGAGGAGCTGCATGCACACCTGTACAACAAGGGGGAACACAGGTGGGTGGTTTGGTTTGTGTGCGTGCGTGGTGGGACCGTGGAGGTGCATTGCATACATAGGTACACGTGCATACACGCGCATGCATGTATGGACGCGCACATGCATGTGCGCATTTGTGCCTAGCTGCTGCCGCTCAACCCTATGACAGAGGAGCTGCTTACGCACCTGTACAACAAAGGGGAGAACAGGTGTGAAAGGGTGGGCAGAAGAGGGACTTGGACTTGGACCCCCAGCACATGGATGGAGTTGTGTCCAAAAACTTATTCAATACCCGTCCCTTCCAACAGGACAGATTCCCACTTTCACTAATGCTTTGCCTCGCCCCCCGTCCCTCTCCACCCCAATCCACTCGGCCGCGCAGTTTGACAAAGGACGATGACGACGACGATGACATCAGCAGCGATAGCTATAACTCTTGTTCCTTCTCGTCCGCCTTATCTCCCCCAATCTTCTCCCACGTTTTCCCCTGCCCTCTCCCTCCCACCTCCCCCAACCCCTTCTTTCCCCCTCCGTCACCCTTCCATGATCCATCCATTCGACTTCGCAGTCTGAAAAAGGAAGCTGCAGCAGACAGCGATGAAAACGGACGACGATGATGACATCAGCAGCGAAGCGACAGCATTCCCTCTCCTTCTCACCCCTTCTCTTGGGTCCGTTCTCTCCGCACCGCACCCCTCCTTTCCCATTGACTGCGCAGTTTGAAGAAGGAAGCTGCAACGGACGACGATGATGACATCAGCAACCTCGTGCCTGTAACCGTGCCGCCCGCCGCCCCGCTACATCCGTCCCTTGCCGCCCAGGGCATCTCTCTGCCCGCCCCTTCCAAGCCCTCCCGCACCCGCGGCCGCAGCGCCAGGGCCCGCGGGGGGCTGAACGTGGAAACTGGGTAAGACGCGTGGTGTGGAGGATAAGAAACAGAAGATATTTACGAGCAATTTGCATGCATGCATTTCCTTGGAGATTCTTTATTATTTGACCACTGTGGCCGCCACATGTGTGTTGCGTGGCGTGAGCATGGAGGCGCGGTAAGGCTAGAGACAGGTGTGGGAAATGGGTGGGAGAACGGACCAACGAGGAATCCACATGCATCCATGCAATGCAAGCATTTCGTGGGAGATGGAAAGGCACATGGGAGATAAGATGAGTCAGCATCACGAACCATGAGTGAGTGAGGGTGGCGATGGCACTGTCAGTCAGCTCTCCTGCGCACAGCAACACCCTTTCCCAAGGGCTTACTCCCCCGTCCATTCCGCCACTTCTCCCTCTCCAACCTCCCTCTCCCCCATGAGCGAATCTGTTTTTTGAGAATTCTCAAATTTGAGGGAGGGGAATTGTATGCCGAATCTGCTTTTTGAGATTTCTCAAAAAGCAGATTCAGCATACAATTTTCCGTCCAATACCCCACTTCTCCATTTCCCACGCGCAGTGAGGCGTCCCTCTTCCCTTTCCTCACTGCCACCCCCGCTTCTTCCCCTTACCGCTTCCCTCTCCAGGTGCGCTAAGAGTGAGATGATGATGGCACAGTGAGTGAGCTCACCACCTGCTCTCACCCAAAGGTATTGAGACTTCATTCATCCGCTCCCTTCCCCACCTTCTCCATCCCCCAGGAGTGCGGTGAGTGAGGACGATGATGGCACAGTGAGCTCGCCCACTTGCAGTGAGGTGTCGGGCACTCCGCATCCCCTTCCCCATCCTCCCCCTCCCTCCCCCTCCCTCCGCATCCCCTTCCCCATCCTCCCCCTCCCTCCCCCTCCCTCCGCATCCCCTTCCCCATCCTCCCCCTCCCTCCCCCTCCCTCCGCATCCCTCCGCCCCCCCTTCTCTCCCCAGGAGCGCGGTGAGCGAGGATGATGACGGCACGGTGGGCTCGCCCACGCGCAGTGAGGCGTCGGGCACGTCCGCGCCGGGGGGAGAGATGGTGGTTAGGCGCGCGCACGTTCCCCCGCCCAAGTGGCTCACTGAAGCCACGTCCAACGAGTTTGTGGTGCGTGGCTGGTGGGGGATTGGGGATGGGATGGATGTTGGTGGTGATGGGGAGAGCGGGATGGGTGTCTGTGGTGGGTGGGTGCGGAGGTGATTCTGATCTGAATTCCAGACGGTGGTGAGGGGCAGCACCATCGCCCACACGCAGTGAGGCATCGGGCATGTGTCAGCCCCGGGAGGGGAGGTGGTGGTGAGGCGCGCCCACGTGCGCCCAAGTGGCTCACTGAAGCCACGTCCAACGAGTTCGTGGTGTGTAGTGGGTGGGGGATGGGGGATGGGGGATGGGATGAGAGTTGGTTGGTGGAGACTCCAGGGTGAGTGAATGTTGTGAGTGGGGGAGCGCCCCAGAGCACGACAAGTACACGCAGACACAGGTGGAGTGTGTGGATCTTCCTGCATGCATGCATGCATTCATTCACACCCCCTTCCTTTCCTACCCCACACCCACCCACCCACCCACCCATTCACGCCCACCCATCCATCCCAACAGGAGTCGTTGACCAAGAGGGAGGCCCCAGAGCACGACAGGTACATGCAGACGCGGGTGGAGTGCATTGCTTGGCATTCATTCACCCGTGCACCCACTCATGTTCACACCACCCCATGGCGTCTCACACAGGAGTCGTTGACCAAGAGGGAGGCCCCAGAGCACGACAAGTACATGCAGACGCTGGTGGAGTGCATCGCTCTGCTGGGCAAGGTGGCGGCTGCTGGTGCTGTGCTCAGGTGAGCCCTTTGTACCTTCCAGCTGGGTCCTCTCAGGTGGGCTGCTCCCGCCTCTCAGATGGCCCTCTCAGGTGGGCCGTTCGCCCTTCTCTCAGGTGAGCTGTTCGCCCCCCTCAGATGGACACTTTGTGCCTCCCAGGTGGAGCCCTGCCCTGCGCCTCCCCAGGTGGTCTTTCCCCCCTCCCAGGTTAAAATTTCCTCCACAGCTTTGATTCCGGCTCCTCTCAGGTAGGCTGCTCACCCATCCGTCTCTAATATTCTCCATACGTGGTGCTGCCCTGGCTTGTGCTCTGGTACTGCCCTGGCTTGTGCTCTGGTGCTGCCCTGGCTTGTGCTCTGGTGCTGCCCTGGCTTGTGCTCTGGTGCTGCTTTCCATGCATTGCCATCGCCTCATGCTGTGTTACGCCTCTTTGTGTGCGCGCACGTGCGCATGTGTGTGTGTGTATGTTCATGCGTGCATGCGTGTGTGTGCGTGTGTGAGTGTGTGTGTGTGTGTGTGTGTGTGTGTTCATGGATGTGTGTGTGCGTGTGTGCGTGTATGTGTGTGTGTGTGTGTGTGTGCGTGTGTGTGTTTGTGTGTGTGTGCGTGTGTGTGTTCATGCATGTGTGTGTGTGCGTGTGTGTGTTCATGCATGTGTGTGTGTGTGTGTGTGCGTGTGTGTGTTCATGCATGTGTGTGTGTGCGTGTGTGTGTTCATACATGTGTGTGCGTGTGTGTGCATATGTGAGCATGTGAGCATGAGAGCAGTCAGCGTGTGCGGGGGTCGGTGCGCGAGATCATCCTTCATGAGATCAAGGACTGTGCAGCTGCAGCAGATGCAGCGCGGTGAGTCAGGGAGTTTCGTTTCGAGATTCAGGCCTGGATGCGGCTTGCTTCCAGATTGAATGACCAGCATTTTCCGTCCGCTGTCCGTAGCACTCCTGTGTCTGCCGGCATTCATTCTTTAATGCTGGAGAAAAGGTCAGCGGCAGGCAAGTCCAGCTGTGAGCGTCTGTTGCGCATGCATCTTGGCGCAGTGCGGTCAGAATCGGTTGAGAGTAACCTTAGCAGCAGATTCCGCTTTTTCACTGCCAAGCCGTTCTTATGCGGAGCAAGCATGGAAGGTGGCGCATTCACTCAAACATCTCTTCCTCGTCGTTCATTCCCGAGTCATTCTTGGGACATTCTGTTGGTGATTAACTGAGCCAGTAGTCGACCTTCTTCACCTATTCGCCCATCAACCCAACCTCCCTCTTCAACCCACCTCCTCCCCCCAGTCCCTGGGTGGAGCAGGTGAGCAAGCACTCCCAAGCTACATCCATGCCTCACTCCCTTCCTTTCCTCTTTTTCCCCCATCAACCCAACCTTCCTCCTCCACCCCCCCCCCCCTGTGGCCCTGCCCCTTTTCCCCAGTCCCCGAGTGGAGCAAGTGAGCAAGCGGTCGCAGGCGGCCACCACGCCCCACTCAGCCGCCTCCACGCCCTCCTCCCACTCCACCGCCTCCTACTGCTCCACCTCCCACAACACATTCCCTTAGGCTTCTCTTCGTTTTTCTTCATTCTTTCTGTGATTCATCAGTTCAATCCTCGACCTCTCCTCCTCTCTCCTCTCCCCCTTTCCCCCCCAGTCCCCGAGTGGAGCAGGTGAGCAAGCGCTCACAGGCGGCCACCACTCCCCACTCAGCCGCCTCCACGCCCTCCTCCCACTCCACCGCCTCCTACTCCTCCACCTCCCGCGCCTCCTCCTACTCCTCCTACCCTCTCCGCTCCTCCAACCCCCGCGGCGGAGCAGTGGTGGTGGCGGGAGGGGGAGGTGCGGGCGGAGGGGCGGGAGGAGGGGCAGGGGCGGGGCTGCATGCTCCGAACGGGGTGGCGCAGGTGGTGGCCCAGGAGCTGCTGGAGTCGATTATGAAGAAACTCACCATCATTCTAGGTGGGTGTGAGTGTATTCAGGGTGTCTGTGTGTGTGGTGGGTGGGTGTGTGCTGGTAGGAGGGGGAAGGAGAGGGTGAGTTGCGGCGGGGGGAGGGGCAGGGGCAGGGCTGCATGCACCGAACAGGGTGGCGCAGCGCAGATAGTGGCTCAGGAGCTGCTGGAGTCGATAATGAAGAAACTGACCGTCATTCTTTCTAGGTGCGTGTGTGAATGTATGAAAGGCTTTCTATGCATGTGTTGGTGTGTGTGCCAGTAGGGGCGCAGGGGGGGGGCTGCATGCTTGGAATGGGGTGGCCCAGGTGGTAGCTCAGGAGTTGCTGGAATTGATTATGAAGAAACTGACCGTGATTCTAGGTGTGTGTGTTTGGTGGTGTATGCTGGTAGTGGGAGGGGAAAGGAGAGGATGTGTTGCTTGGGGGGGAGGGGCACGGGGGTGTGCATCCTTTAAACAGAATAGAGCAATGTGGTTCTCGTGATGGTGGGCGTGGGCGATTTCATGAAGGCCCAGGCGTCGGACCACTCAGGAGGTGACTTTTGAGTCGACTCAAAAGTCACCTCATGAAGGCCAAGGCGTCGGACCACTCAGGAGGCGTGCAGCGCACCTCCTCTCCTCTCCTCTCCAACTCCTCTCCAATGTACCGCATCCCACCTGACTGTTACCGCAGAGAACCATATTGTGGTGGGGGATCTCATGGAGGCGAAGGCATCGGACCGCTCGGGGGACGTCCGGCGCACGCCGGATGGGGACGAGGCGGTCAGCAAGTTCAGCGCCAGCACGGGCGGCTACAGCGTCGCTTTCGTCTGGTCCTGTATGCAGGTGGGCGGCAAGCTCTGGACTGTTATGCACAGGTGGACGGTTGGTTACTGGCCTGTCCCGCTTGCAGGTGGGATGCACTTTTTGTTTGATCAATGATCCTGCATGCACGGGTGTGGCTGTTTGTTGTCCTCATGGCACTGTGTGTTTGTGTGTGTGGGAACGTTTGGTTGCTCTGTTGTAGAGTGCTGTACAGTGTACTACAGTGTTTGTACGGTAGTCTACACGGTGGGTTCATGATTAATCGCGTGCTGGACATGCTCTCTTACTTCCCTTTTCTCTCTAAACCCGCTCACCAGAGCGAGTGCCAGCAGTTGCTGTGCGACATCCCCAGGGCCAACCCAACCTTTGAATCTTCCCCCTATTCCCCCCTTTTCCCCCCCGTTCCCCCCTCTCCCCCCCCCCCCCCTTTTCGCCCTGGATTCCCCCTTTTCCCCACATTTAATCTCTCACCAGAGCGAGTGCCAGCAGTTGCTGTGCAACATCCCCAGGGCCAACCCAACCTTTGAATCTTCCCCCTATTCCCCCCTTTCCCCCCCCGTTCCCCCCCTCCCCCCCCCCCCCCCTTTTCGCCCTGTATTCCCCCTTTTTCCCCCATTTAATCTCTTACCAGAGCGAGTGCCAGCAGTTGCTGTGCGACATTCTCAGGGCCAATCCAGACGGCGGCTCTTCTGAGACGTCAGGGCGCACCGCCCAGCTCAAACTCGACTCCGGCGGGTATGATTCAATTTGATCTGATCTGGCTGGTCCGATCTGATTTGATTCGATCTGAGACCTTATTGAACCCTATTCGATCTGTGCTGGCCTGATTTGAACTAGTTCTCGTTGCTGGTGCCATAGGTTGAACGATGTGTGATGAGGTTTCGCTTATTCTTTCTGTCTGCTGCCTATCCCGCCCCACCCCACCCCACCCCAGCCCCACACCCCCAAAGCCCCAAGTCCCCCGGACCCCTCAACCCCCACTCTACCTGCTGCTCTCGAGCTGTTCTTCCCGCTCTTTCCCTGCTTTGTTCTGCTCTGCTCCTGACTCTTCCTGCTTTGCTCTGCCCCGCTCCTGACTCTTCCTGCTTTGCTCTGCCCCGCTCCTTGTAATTTCATATTTCATACAACATACATAGGCTAGAAGTGTAGCACATTTATAAATTGGGGGGTTGCTTAGTGTACCCTCCAACCACATTTTGTGGTTGGTTGGGATTGGTCCTTAGCTCAACCAATCCCAACCAACACACATTTGTGGTTGCTTGGGTCACAAGCAAGCTCACCCATTGGCCAACTTACTGGCCAATAGGGTAAGCTTCCCTCTAATCTCTCTCTTGCTCATTGTTTGTACTAAAGAGCCTCTTGGCTCATTATTCAATGTATCAATTCTAGCTTTACAACACTCCTGACTCTTCCTGCTTTGCTCTGCCCCGCTCCTGACTCTTCCTGCTTTGCTCTGCCCCGCTCCTGACTCTTCCTGCTTTGCTCTGCCCCGCTCCTGACTCTTCCTGCTTTGCTTCCGGCTCTGCCCCTGACTCTCTTCTCTGTGTCGCAACACTTAATGCCCTGTTCTCTGTCTGCCTCTTCTCATGCACAACAACGGCCGGTGCCCCGCCGCTTCATCTGTTGCATGCATGGTTACATGGGCGTGTAACCGATTGTGGATGCATGACTGCATGGGTGCATGGATGCATGCATGGGATGGGTGCATGGGTGCATGGATGTGTGGGTGCATGGATGCGTGGGTGCATTGGTGCATGGTGCATGCATGGATGTGGGTGCGTGGGTGCATGGATGCATGGCTGCATGGCTGCACGACTGCATGAATGCATGGTGTTGTGTGCAATGCAGCACCAAGGGAGCCATGCTCACCTTCAGCTTCCGATTCACCGACGCCAACACCACCTCCGCTCCTGCTGCAGGTGGGTTGTTGCTGCTGCAGGTGGGTTGCCCTGTTGTCGGTGCATGGGTGCACTTGTCTCTGCCATGCATGCATGTGTGTGAGCAGCAGCAGCACCAAGGGGGCCATGCTCACCTTCAGCTTCCGATTCACCAACGCCAACACCGCCTCCGCTCCTGCTGCAGGTGGGTGCGTTGCTCGCTCCTACTCCGGGTGGGTTTTTCTGTTCTGGCTGCATGGGTGCACTGTTCTCTGCCATGGCTGTGTGGGCAGCAGTACCAAGGGAGCCATGCTCACCTTCAGCTTCCGATTCACCGACGCCAACACCGCCTCTGCGCCTGCTGCAGGTGGGTTGTTGCTGCAGCAGGTATGGTGCTCCTGCGGCAGGGGTGTTGCCCGCTCCTGCCACAGGTACATTACATTGTTGCCGCAGCCGCTGGTGTCGTGCTCTCTTTCAGGTATGCTGCTGGTGTCGTGCTCTCTTTCAGGTATGCCGCTGGTGTCGTGCTCTCTTTCAGGTATGCCGCTGGTGTCGTGCTCTCTTTCAGGTATGCCGCTGGTGTCGTGCTCTCTTTCAGGTATGCGGCCCTCTCCTTGCCTCTCTGTCCCTTCAGGTGTGTTTCTGCTGCGTCAGGCGCCACTGTGTTCCTTCATGCTTCCCCATGTAACCCCCACTTGTGTCTCGTCATCCTTCGCTTTTCTCTTCCCTCCCGTTTTTCTGTCTTGTCCAATGACGGACCTACTGTGCTGTGGTAAGAGAGAGCAAATTTTGTCCCAGCCCTCAAGAGTTTTGAGACATCCCAAAGCTCACTCTCTCTCTCTCTCCCATGGAACACGTTTCCTGCTCGTACAACTACGCACCTACCCATAACTACTGTGATTAGCAAAGCCCTCCCAGTCCTCTCCACCCGCACAGAGCCTCCCTGAAGGCACCCTGTAGCCCCCCTCCCTATTACTTATGTGAGAAAACGTGAGAAAGAACCGTTAATCTCATTAGGAGAGATGGGGGTATACATAGTAGTGCTAGGAGGGGGGGGTTTGGTCGGAACCAAGCCAACATTATTGGCCCCTACCAATAAGTTGGGTTGAGGGATTATTGGGGGTACCAATAGTGTTGACCAAGTGGTTCAACATTATTGGGGGGACCAATAATTCCCAACCCAACCTTGGGGGCCAAGGTTTGAGTTTCAACCCCCAACTAGGGTTGGCCCTAGTTCTACACCCAAAGTAAGATTGGGTGGCTATCTCTATCCTATGCTTATAGGATTGATGTAGGTTACAATGAGGATGATAATCTGACAACTTATCGGTGGTTTTTGAGAAATTTCTCCCTGCACCTGTAATTCCCCTCCCTTCGTCCACCACCCTCATTTGGGTGTGTCTTTCCTGCTTACCTTCTGTTCCCTATCAGCCTCCCTTTGCTTCTCCCTACCGCCCCTACCTTTGCCTTCCGACGACCTCTCTCCCTGCTTTCCTCCCCTCCCACCTCATCCACAGCAGAATCACCACACCCCTCTTCCTGCTGTCTGCCTTCCCTCTCTCTGCTCTTGTTCTCCCCTGTCTCCGCCCTATTTCCCCAAACATAGCAGAGGCGCTGCCAAAGAGGCGGGTGGGGGGCATGGCGGGGGGAGCGGGCGCACTGGAGGGATACGGCACGGCCCAGCTGCTGCCAGAGCGAGGCATCTACCTCACCTCCGCCTGCTACCGCCCCACGCTGCAGGTGGGTTGATTTGTCTGTTGTGGGTTTGAGTCAAAGGAGTTGCTCTGCTGTTGCCAGAGCGAGGCATCTACCTCACCTCCGCCTGCTACCGCCCCACGCTGCAGGTTCGCCAAGCAGAATTCATTTTTAAGTGGAACAGGCCACTCCACTCAAGCCCCTCTGCACCACTCAAACCCCTCTTTCCACTAAAACCAACCTAAACCCGAATCCTCTCACACCTCACACAAACCTACCTTCTATTCCAAATGCTTTTTAAGTAGACTGATAGTGGCGCATTCTTGCTCCCTCCCCCCCCCGCTCACTCCCTCCCTCCTTCGCTCCCTCACTTCCTCACTTCCTCCATCTTCTCCCTGTGTCCTCCTCTCCCCCCTCCCGCTCTCGCTTCCTCCTGTCCTTCCCAGTTCACAGAGAAGGTTACTCAAATGCTGCCACGCAAATACTCCGACCTAGGGTGAGTTGCCATCCACACAACATTGCATCTGTTTAACTGCTTTCGCTCAAATCTGTAAAAACTATTTTACGGAACAGTAATAAGTATGGAGCTGAGTCTTATGCACCATCCATCTGCCCTGCCTTAGCAGTTCTCCTGGCAACCACAACCAATTCGCCACCCTCTCCCGCTTGCTCCCCACCTTCATCCTGCCCCTGCTGCTACAGCAAAGCTGAATATTCAGTCGACCAAAAAAACCACTGGAGTCGCCACTCTTTCTTTCTCGCTTTTGCTGCCCCTATCCCCACTCTCCCTTCCACCCCCTGCCCCTGCTGCTGCAGCCGCTCTGGCCTGCGCCCCTTTATGGACAGCTTCGTTAAGGACCAGTTCCTGCCCTGTGTGCGCGACGACTACCGCAACCGCGTCGCTGAGGCTCTCTCCAGTGAGTGTGCCCTCTCCAGTGAGTGTGCCCTCTCCCGCTTATGCATTGGATTGGTTGGAGCAACCTAGCAACCCATTGCTGCCCACTTCCCCATGCTCGCTTCCTCCCTTTCCCCCCTTCGTCCTCCCCACCGCCTGCAGGCCCGTCTGCCTTCCGCCCGCGAGCCAAGACCATCGGCATGTACGAGCCAGCAGCCGAAAAGGGCCGCCCGCTGCTGCAGGGGCCGGTGGCGGTGGAGGGGGTGGTGGAGGAGGTGGTGGAGTGGGCCAAGGCCATGCCCGTGTATGCTGGGGAGTTCGTAGCCCTTGTGCACACCCTGCTTGACCGCACACTCGAGCGCTGCCGAGGAGTCTACACTGAGGTGAGCTGTGTGCTGCAAGTCAGACGTTGAGGGGGGTGGGGGGAAGTCTCCTATGGGAGGAGGTGGTGGAGTGGGCCAAGGCCATGCCCGTGTATGCGGGGGAGTTTGTTGCTCTCGTGCACACCCTGCTTGATAGGACTCTCGAGCGTTGCCAGGGTGTTTATACCAACGTGCGCTGTTTGGTCTGGGGGAGGGGGACGGGAGGGCGGGGAGAGTGAGAGGTTGAGGGAAAGCGAAGGGTGGGTGAGAGGAGTGATGGGGTGGTTGCTGTGGATGGGATGAGGGTTTTGTGTACTCTTACAGCAGGCAGTAGCCATTATTCTTCTTCCGTTTCCCTTCCACTCCTGTACCCCCCGCACCCAAAATCCACCCTTGTTCTTCTTTTCCTCCTCCCCGAGTCCGTTCTCGGCTCTCGTTGCAGCAACCTATTGGGCTGCCCCGTTCTGAGGGGACTTTTGAGCCGACCTCATGCAGCAGCAGGCCGTCCCCTCCCCATAACCCCAACTTCCCTACTCCCTCAACTTCCCTATTCCCCTCCCTTTCCCCTGCCTCTCCCAGGCTGTGCTCGGCCCGCTCAGCAGCAGCCCAGTGGGCCGCCCAGATATTGACAACCTCATGCAGCAGCAGGCGGCCTGCTCTTCCTCTTCCCTCTCCACTCCCTTTTTTCCCATTTCTACTCTACTGCACCCCCCCACCACCACCGCCCCGCCCCCTGCCCCCTTGACCCCCCAAGGCTGTGCTCGGCTCTCTCAGCAGCAACCTGGTGGGCCGCCCGGATATCGACAACCTCATGCAGCAGCAGGCGGCAGCCAAGCTGCTAGCGGACGGCGATCTGCCGCCCGCTGAGCTGGAGGCCGCCCGGGAGGACCCGCCTCTGGACAGCGAGGCGTACGAGCTGGACCTCGAGATCTACGGCAAGCTGCTGGCTTTAAGGCCTATTAAGGAGGTAGTTACTTTTGTGTGGGGGAGGGTGTGTGTGTGTGTGTGTGTGTGTGTGTGTGTGTGTGTGTGTGTGCGTGCGTGTGTGTGCGTGCGTGCGCGTGCGTGCGTGGGTGCGTGCGTGTGTGCGTGCGTGGGTGCGTGCGTGCGTGCGTGGGTGCGCGTGTGTGTGCGTGTGCGTGCGTGGGCGTGCGTGGGTGCGTGCGTGGGTGCGTGGGTGCGTGTGCGTGCGTGCGTGTGCGTGCGTGCGTGTGCGTGCGTGTGCGTGCGTGCGCGTGCGCGTGCGTGTGTGCGCGTGCGTGTGCGTGCGGGTGCGTGCGGGTGCGTGCATGCGTGTGCGTGCGAGTGCGTGCGTGTGCGTGCTTGTGCGTGCTTGTGTGTGCGCGTGCATGCGTGTGCGTGCGTCGTGTGTGCGTGCGTCGTGTGTGCGTGCGTGCGTGTGCGTGCGTGTGCGTGCGTGTGCGTGCGCGTGCGTGCGCGCGCGTGTGTGCGGCGTGTGTGCGGCGTTTGTGCGGCGTGTGTGCGTGTGTGTGCGTGTGTGTGCGTGTGTGTGCGTGTGTGTGCGTGCGCGTGCGTGTGTGCGCGTGCGTGTGCGTGCGGGTGCGTGCGGGTGCGTGCGTGCGTGTGCGTGCGAGTGCGTGCGTGTGCGTGCTTGTGCGTGCTTGTGCGTGCGCGTGCGTGCGTGTGCGTGCGTGTGCGTGCGTCGTGTGTGCGTGCGTGCGTGTGCGTGCGTGTGCGTGCGTGTGCGTGCGCGTGCGTGCGTGCGCGTGCGTGCGCGCGCGTGTGTGCGGCGTGTGTGCGGCGTTTGTGCGGCGTGTGTGCGTGTGTGTGCGTGTGTGTGCGTGTGTGTGCGTGTGTGTGCGTGTGTGTGCGTGTGTGTGCGTGTGTGTGCGTGTGTGTGCGTGTGTGCGTGTGCGTGTTTGTGTGTGTGAGTGTGTGTGTGTGTGTGTGTGTGTGTGTGTGAGGATGTGTGTGTGTGAGGATCCGCCATGCTATGTGCGATCGAAGACCCGCCTCTGGTCTGGACAGCCAGGCGTGCGAGCTGGACCTCTCTGGGCCCTCTCGCCTTCCTTTCCCTTTCTCCCCGGCGGGAGAAACTCGTTGTGGGCACCGTCAGTGACATTTTTCTTCTCCCTCCTCGTTGCCTCGCCTCTCATTCCCCCTCGCACCTTGCCGTTCATCCCGTTCTCCCCTGGCAGGCAGGAGCAACTGATTCTGGACACTGGCAAGTGGGTGCTTCTGGCGGCACTCAGTGCCTCCCACTGTCCTCACACCTCACCTCTCATCCGACTGTGTGCTTGCCTGCCTTTCATCCCCGTTTCTCCCTCTCAGGAGCAACTGATTCTGGACACCGGCAAGCTGGTGCTGCTGGCCGCTCTCAGTGACACACTTGAGTACTTTGCCGATGCCATCCTGCGGTGAGTGCTGCTGATGCCATCCTGCGGTGAGTGCGTGGCTGTGGTGACTGTATGCACACATGCGCACATGCACGCATGCAGACATGCGCATACCGCCCTCTTCCCCCAACCCCTGCTTCTTCCCATGCCCAGTCTGGACCGCCCCAAGGTAGCAGGCAGTGCGAGGAAGAAGACAGCAGCGGCATCAGCGAGGCAGCAGCGGGCACCGGATCTGACGCTCTTATAATGATCTCACTTCTCGCACTCTTCCCCTGTCCCAATTCCAGTCTGGGCCTGCCCAAGGTAGCAGGCCGTGCGAGGAAGAAGACAGCAGCAGCGTCGGCGAGGCAGCAGAGGGCACCGGCGCTGACGTTACTGCTAATGGTTCCTCTTCCCACCCTCTTCCCCCAACCCCTGCTCCCTGCTCCCTCCCATTCTCAGGCTGGGTCGCCCCAAGACAGCAGGCAGTGCAAGGAAGAAGACGGCAGCGGCATCAGCGAGACAGCAGCGGGCGCCGGCGCTGACAGCTTCACTGCAGCAGCTGGCGGAGCGCTACCGGCTGCTGGCGAGGGAGGCTCTCAGGACACTGCGAGTGGAGATGCAGCTGCATTGTATCTTCCACCTGCAGGTACTCAAGTACACTAGAGTAGAGTTTGTGTACCCTAGAGTCTGCAGCAGCTGGCGGAGCGTCACTGCCTGCTGGCAAGGGCTTTTGAGGCGCCTCAAATGACGGAGTGTCACTGCCTGCTGGCGAGGGAGGCTCTCAGGACACTGCGAGTAGAGATGCAGCTGCACTGCATCTTCCACCTGCAGGTGCAGTTGTGTTGTGTATGTGAGTTGATGGATGCTACTGCACTTCCCATAGGCTGCAGCAGCTGGTGGAGCGCTACCGGCTGCTGGCACGGGAGGCTCTACACGCCCTGCGCGTGGAAATGCAGCTGCACTGCATCTTCCACCTGCAGGTATACTTTTGCATGTGAGTGAGTGGACGCTGCTGCATTGCGCTACCTCGTTGCAGCAGCTGGCAGAGCGCTACCGCCTGCTGGCAAGGGAGGCCCAGCGCACGCTGCGCTGTTCCGTCCCCCTCTGTTCCGCACCCCTCTGTTCCGTCCCCCTCTGTTCCGTCCCCCTCTGTTCCGCCCCCCTCTGTTCCCCCCCCCTCTGTTCCGCCCCCCTCTGTTCCGCCCCCCTCTGTTCCATCCCCCTCTGTTCCGCCCCCCTCTGTTCCGTCCCCCTCTGTTCCGTGGCCTGCTCTGTTCCCCCTGCTCGGTGCCCCTTCACTGCAGTTCACACCGAACCGTGAGTACTGAGGGGTTTCCTCATCCTTTGAAGTCAATGGGAATGATGGGAATAATGGGAATAACCTTCAAATCAAATTTCCTGATCCTCCATCCGTTCGTCCCTCCCTCCGTGCCTCTCTGCTGCAGTTCATGCCGACGCGTGGTTACGTGAACAAGATTGATGCAGAGGAGCCAGAGCTTCGAGATGTCTCAGAACTTTGTTCGGTCCCTCCGTGTCCCCCACACCCATCGTCACCCCCATCGCTTTGGTGCCGCTGTGCTGCAGTTCATGCCCACCCGTGGTTACCTACGTGAACGAGATCCATGCAGAGGAGCCGAGCCAGAGCTTTGAGATGTCTCAGAACTTGTTCGGTCCCTCCGTGTCCCCCACACCCATGTCACCCCGTGCCTCTCTGCTGCAGTTCATGCCGACGCGGGGGTACGTGAACGAGATCGATGCAGAGGAGCCAGAGGACTTCATCGTGGCTCTCACCGCCCAGGTACAGTTCGAACAACAACCAACGCCACAGGTGTTATGCATGAGCTCCAGCCATGCATGACACGACACAATGGCAAACTACTACTGAGGCGCCTCAAAAGGAGCCAGAGGACTTCATTGTGGCTCTCACCGCCCAGGTACCGTTCACACAACAACCAACTCTATCTACAGGTGTTATGCATGAGCTGCAGCCACGTCATGTATCACACAATGGCAGGGCAGGCTCCCTTTTGGTGCTCTATTGGTACCCGCCCACCCCACTGGTACGCGGACGAGATAGACGCAGGGGAGGAGCCTTTTCAGGCCTTTCAGAAGATTGATGCGGAGGGGACCGAGGGTTCCATGGTCGCTCTCGCTGCTCAGGTACTGTTCCTGGCCTGGGGACTTGCACTCTTGGCTTGGACTTGTACTGTTTTCATTCAGACTCGCACTGTTCATGTGTACAGGACAGCATGCGGGGACTGTGTCATCTGCCCTCACCAGCCAACCACCCTGCAATGCAAGTGTGTCAAACCCACATTCCCCTCCCCTCTTCAACCTCCCTCCCTCCCCACCCCCCTTCTCTCCACTTACTCTCTTCCCCCTCTTTCCTTGGCCAGCTCACCCGAGTGGACGAGGAAATGACGGTCTTCATCGCCCCTGCTCGTCACTACTATGTCTTTGTTGGCGTCTGCAGCCTCGCCCTGAACCCCCCCACCTCCCCCTCCTCCTCTTCATCTCTCTCATCCCTCTCCCCGTCCCCACCCTCTCTCCTTGGCCAGCTCACCCGAGTGGACGAGGAAATGACGGTCTTCATCGCGCCTGCCCGCCGCTACTACGTCTTTGGGGGCGTCTGCAGCCTTGCTGCCACAGGCCTTATCCGGGTAAGCTCTTTCATCAAAACCACGCTGTTGCTATGTGTGTGTACTGCTGATTGTACACCCATCATGCTAGTTAGTTGAGCTTACATGCAATTATGGGTGGGGGCGTCTGCAGCCTCGCCGCCATAAGCCTTATTAGGTATGCTCGCTGCTATGTGTGTGCTTACTGCTTGCGTGCTCTTTGGTCGTATGTCCATGTGCTGCTGGTCCGTGCACTCCAATTTCATATGATATTTGAGTTTTTTTTTTTTTTTTTTGTCGACGTCGACCTTCATTCAGACGTGTTTTGATGAGCTGAGGGTATGAAGCATGCAGCCTTCAGTTCGTCCTCTTCTCCTTCCGTCCTTCCGAAGTCCTGACAATATTGCATAGCAGCGATATACTCGCTCCTCGTCTTCTCAATCGTCCAAATTCACGCCCTTTCCTCTTTCTCTTTTGCTCCCTCAGCCCCCTTCCTCCTCTCAACTATCCACTCGTCCATCCCCCATTCCTCCCCCTAAACCCAAATCCCCCATTTCCCCCCCCGGTAACCCCACCCACCACACCCCATTCCTCTGCTCTTCTCCCCACCACCAGGCTCTGGCGGAGCTGCCAGGGATCAACTCGCTGGGAGTGCGGCAGGTGCAGCGCAACTGCATCGCACTGCAACAGGTGACATTGACATGTTATTGCGCAGAACTGTTCCGTTCTAGGCATTCTTTTTCATCAGAAGATTGTTGTTCATCTCTCACGTTCTACTCCCCCATCATCTACTTTCCCTCCCCGCTTGTCTCGATCCCCGCTCCACTCTCCACCTCTGCACTCTCACCCTTCCCCTTAATCTCATCTGCCCTGGAATCAGAGCATGCCAAGTCAGCCCATGGTAAACCTCTCCCCACACCTTCCCCACAACAATCCCATCACTCCCATTTTCTTCCTTCCCCACTCCCTCCATTCCCTCCGGCCGTCAGACCCTGGCAACACTCAACGCGAACGGCAGTCAGAGTGTGCAGCTGAGTCTGGACCGCGTGGGCGAGTACTATGAGCTGCTCAACCGGCCATATGAGGTGTGTGCTGCTGTGAGGTGATGGCTGCTGCTATTGTGAGGTGAGGCTGAGCGATTCATAGCACTCATAGGTGGGAGGTGCAATGCGCTGCACTCTCCACTGCAGCACGCACCTTCATAGGTGGGTGCTATGAATCGCTCAGCCTCCCTTGTAAAGTGCGCATTGCACTTTAGGGCTAATCAGTAGACATAATTTGGCAACAACCGCTCATTCCTCCCCTGCTCCTACTTCCCCTCCATTCCCCACATGAGTACCTCCGTTGCTGCAAGATTCCACTGATTCTTTCATTCTGCTCTGTCTGTTTATTTGTTCCTTCTCTCGGTCACAGGCGCAACTGCTACTCGTGTCTCATCTTCCCCTGTTTCTATCGTGACTTTTGAGTCGACTCAAAAGTCAACTGCTACTCGTGTCTCATCTTCCCCTGTTTCTATCCTTCCGCAATCTCTCTTTTCGTCCCTCTTCCCACTCTCAGGCACTGCTGACATACATCAAGGACCACAACCGCCACCTCCCTTTCCACACCCCGCTTTTGCTGTTTCATGACAAATGACGCGTGCTCTACTCTCTGTTTCTATCTCTCGCTCTCTCAGGCGCTGCTGGCATACATCAAGGACCATAACCGCTACTTCTCTGTCGATGAGTAAGTCAAGTCCCGCCTGGTTACCGTATGACACACCAATAATCTCCTGTCTGTATCCCCGGTGCCCGTTTGTCAGTTGCACGCCCTAGAGTAGCCGTTTCCTATTGTGGCCAGTCGTGCGTGCTTAGTCTGCCTCTTCTTGCCTCTCGGTATGGGTGTGACACTGTTTGAACGCTCACAAGCACGGCACCTGCAGGTTGATGGAACTGAGGGATGTTTGCTGGTTGACGGAACTGAGGGATGTCTGCTGGTTGACGGAACTAAGGGATGAACAGCTTGCGTCATTCTCACATCCCGCTCCTCTCTCTACCACCCCCCTTGGCTTGCTGCCTCTAGGAACATTTCTACTCTCAAACGTTTAACTGGGTGGTTCTGCTTGTGTCACTGCCAGGTACCTCACCCTGATCAAGGTGCGTGTGCCTGGAAGGCACGTGCCAAAGGATGCGACAGAAACGATTAAGGAGCTTTTGCAAGAGGGCTGATATTAGCATTGCCTGTGATTGGTACTTTGGATTGTCGGATTAGTGTCCCCTAGTCAAGAACTAAGTAGGTTAAACTGAAACGTGTTTCAGATAATTTGCCCTCGTATCTTACAGCGTGCACTCTGGCTAGGTTTTGACAATGTAATGCCCCCTTAGGTTTTTCAAGTATTGTATGTATAATTTCTATGCATTCTTTTGATATATGCATATTATCGAATTCTGTAGCCAGTATGTTTATTTGGATCAGCCCTCGCGCTTATCGAGAACACGTTCCCTGGTGATGACATGCCAGCACGACAAACGCCGCGGTCTCCTTACAACGCGCTCCTGACATTGGGAGTTCCCGCGCGATGCTTTCCATGCCAACATCGTGCCATGTTTGGCTGGGTTCGGAGCAGCAAGATTGCTTCCCCGAATGCTGCCCGTCTAGGTGTTACCGTGTTTGATCCATCCTCCTAAACTTTCTAACATGTATTCTTTTCTCCTCAAGGCAAACCGGATAACTAACTCTAGCGCTTAACTGTTGGTGTGCAACTTTGGCAGCTTTGGAACTCTTATGAAGCTTTTGGGGGAACTCGTTTCAAAATACACAGGAGGCAAGGATGGCTGGATTCGTGCAGTTCGTGCATCCTCGAAACGCTGGTCGTTGCACCAGCAAACCAAAAAGTGTGCTTTCTTTGGCGAGCTTGCAAGAATGATCTTCCAAGTTGGTGCTTCCACCATGTCTAGACTAATGTTATCGATTTCATCGCAAGCACGTGCAAAGCGTTTCCTCAGGGTCCGTCACGGCTCGCGACCATACGAGTGTTGTGTCTTGCGTGCCTGAGCGTCCCAGCGTTTTGCGTTAGCGCACGGGCAAGTCTTGTGAGCATACTGCTTCCTCCGCTGTCCACGATCTTGTCGGAGAGAAATCGCGAGGGTCGCACGATATGAGGCTTGCGAAAACAGGGAAATGCGTCAATTGATTTGAACGAGAGAATCAAATTTACGAAACGTCGCAATCAAGCGACTGCCTGATTGGTAGACTCGTGTAGGTGGTATGTTCTTGACGACAGTGTATGCAATTGCGTCACATTGAATTCAAGACAAGAGACACAGACATCCACCTTTCTTCCTGTCAGATAGAGACGTTCTGTCATCTTGACAATATTATATCGGTTCTAGCTCGCAACTTGTGAAGGTTCATCTGGTCCAGTAGACATCTTTGTCCCGCACAGTCTAGTTGATGCGAATACAAATTCTGGTTACAGCTTCTTAATTCAATTCGCCGCCAACGGCTCGTGAACGCTCTTCGCGAAACAGTCTTTAAAGCAATCAGCACAGCACCGGCCTCGTTCCATAGAAACTGCGTATCCTTGATACTCGTTCCGTCGTGTATCCTTGATACTCGTTCCGTCGTGTATCCTTGATACTCGTTCCGTCGTGTATCCTTGATACTCGTTCCGTCGTGTATCCTTGATACTCGTTCCGTACGGCGGTCGATCCGAGAGCCTCTCTAAGCCCACTCCTCATAGCACCATATACTCATCTCATATTTTAGTACTCCAAGCTACTGCCTTTACCCGATTTCTACGACCCGATTCCCATCCTCCCGTCACGCCCTTTTGTTTCCCTCTCCCCGACCCCGCCATCACGGGCGCGCATCTCCTCCCCCGTTTCCTCGTCCGCCAACCCCCCAGCCCCCTCTGCAGCCCTCTGCTTCCGCCCGCGCACGGTTCCCCTTCCCCCCCGACTTCCGCCTCCCCGCCCCGCCCTTCCTCTTTTCCTGCATCTGCGCAAGCCGCCACGCTGGAGGCGGAGAGGCTGATCGGAGGGGAGGGGGAAGCGGGGGAAGGGTTAATTGGGAAAAAAGAGGGGGAACCGGGAGAAGGAGCGGGGGCTTATGCGGAAGTTGCTGGCGGCGAGGAAAGGGGGGATGGGAAAGGCGGAAGGGAAAGGTCTGAGGACGGTATGGATGGCGACCGCGCGAGCGGGGAGCGGAAGCCCTTGACGGGAGGGGGAAACGGGGAAGATGGGAGAGAGGGGGAAGAGGGAGTGGCGGAGGCTATGGGGGGAGGGGCGCAAGCGAGCAATCTAAATATAGGGGTTTCCAAGGAAAGCGTTAGCGTGAGTGAGAGCACTGAGGTGGAGAGAGAAAAGAGGGACGAGATGAGCCCGATGGAAGGAGGGATGGGGCAAGCAGGCACGGAAGTAGCTGCAGCAGCTGCTGCTGATTCTGCTGCAGCAAGGGCAGCAGAAGGGGCAGGAGATTCGGGTAAAGGAGTGAGTGGAGGGGGAGAAGAAGCACCAGGGACGACTGGAGACGAGCAGTCAAAAGCCTCACCGCAAGCAGACCCCTCGCTCACACCCGCAGCAGCAGCAGAGGGAGCAGGAGCAGCAGGATCAGCAGCAGCCGGAGCAAGAGCAGGAGCGAGAGGAACAACAACAGCGGATGGAGGGCGCACGTGGGGCGGGGGAATCCGCGCCAACACCACCCCCTACTGGCGCTTCGTGCAGATCCTCTCCGCGGTGGGCGCGGGGGTGATATTCATCCCCGCGCTCGTCTTCACAGTCATTATATTCATCCGCAGCCTCTTCCTGCAGGCCTGGTACCACCTCTGCTACTCTGGCGCCGTGCGCCGGCGAAATCGGCGAGTGGTAACCCCATCGTGCCTGTCCGTGCTGCCTTCGCCGTGCATGCGGGGGACTCTGGATCTGGAGCAGCGATTGGAGGTGGTCTCGTGGGAGGGCGGGCGGGTGGTGACGTGGCGCAAGTCGGACGAGGCGGCGAGAGGAAGTGGTGGTGCCGCTGTTGATTCTGCTGCTGGTGATGGTGACAGTGATGGTGGTGCTCGTGCTGGTGCTGCCGGTGTGAGCGCTGGAAGTTCGAGCAGCGAACCGCTGCGAGGAGAGAAGGCAAGCGAGGGCGGGGAAGGAGAGGTTCGGATCGACGTGGGCGGAGGCTCGGGAGCCGAGCCTGCGGGAGGGCGCGGAAGCGGCAGAGGAGGCGCGGGCGCGGGCGGAGCAGGCGGAGGGGAGGGCGGGGGCGACAACTCAGTAGCGGGGATAGAGATCCGGCCCGCGTCCCCCATGGCGTGCGTGGCGGAGAACAGCTACCAGCGCGGCATCCCGCGGCGGCTGTCCCTGAGCTTCGTGCACGCGTGGACGTTCACGTACACACACGTGGTGAACCGCACGGCTGTTATGAATGAGGATACGCTGCTGGAGCTGGTCAGGCGGCGGCCTGCTGGGACTCCGTTGATTACCATCAGCAACCACATGTCCACGTGCGTGGGGTGTGAGCTTTTGGGGTGGGGATGTATGGGGTCGCATGGGGCCACCTGGGGATGCATGGGTCGCATGGGGCCACCTGGGGATGCATGGGTCGCATGGGGCCACCTGGGGATGCATGGGTCGCATGGGGCCGCATGGGGTCGCATGGGGTTGCATGCAGTCGCACGCGTGGACGTTCACGTACACGCACGTGGTGAATCGCACGGCTGTGATGAATGAGGACACGCTGCTGGAGCTGGTCAGGCGGAGGCCTGCTGGGACTCCGTTGATTACCATCAGCAACCACATGTCCACGTGCGTGGGGTAGTGGGTTGGGTATGGATGGGGCTGTTGCATAGGGTCGCATGGGGTTGTTTGCATGGGGTTGCTTACATGGGGTCGCATGGGGTTGTTTGCATGGGGTCGCATGGGGTTGTTTGCATGGGGTCGCATGGGGTTGTTTGCATGGGGTCGCATGGGGGTCGCATGGGGGTCGCATGGGGGTCGCATGGGGTCGCACGGCCTGGCATCTCTCTCGAATGGTCCTTGCATTTCTTTGGGGGGTGGTACAACGGAAGGTGCAAAACACACAAGCACAAGCTCAACAGAAAACCGGCATCCTAACTATTCCAAGTCTCCTACCTACTCTGCCCCCCCCCCTGTCCGACCCTACTGGTCGATCGGGGCCTCAATCAACTGGTGCAGCTGTCCCTCACTGAGAGGGATGATGGGTCCTCTAAAACCGAGCTCGTCCGCCGCCAAGGCCTCATTGGTCTTGGTGCGGAGGGCGTTGGCCTGTGCCCGCTGGAGGCACACGCTCCAACGCTGGCGGTACTCTGTCAGAAGCTTCGCTGCTTCGTAGGAGGTAGGGGCTGCGTTAAACCGCAGCTTTGCCGCCAGCTCCGCGCATTGCCGCAGGTAAGCCAGCACCCCCGGCGAGGGGTAGCCGTATGTTTCCACTGCGAGCGCGTGGAACCCCACCCACGTGTTCCGCCGTGCGTACTTCTCCTCCTTTTTTGCCGCTGCCGCCCTAGCTGCCCAACCAGGAGCTCGGTTGCAGTTCTCGTCCTGGTATGACATCGGGTCCGTCACGGTCACGTCGCACATCCAAACCTCCCCGGTCAGTGGATGACGGATGGTGACATCCGCCTTTAGGTTTTCAACCAGTGAGTAGACATACGTCTCCTTATGAACCGTAAAACCCGCCTCAGCCCCGATATTTGCTATCTCATCCCGCAGAGCGTGATGGGTAGCGGTCCTCCCTTTCCCCTTCTCGCAGCGCATGAGGTGGTTGGGGAGGCGGTCGTCGGGGAAGGTGGTGCGGTAGCGGCAGTCACAGCGTCTAGGCACTGGGAGGGGGAGGCCTAGGCGGAAGGCAGCTGCAGTTGAGAGCTGGGAGGGGCCCATTCGGAGCGAGGGGATGAGCGGGATCGCCAGCAGCCAATCCCCCGCTCCTGGGCCTAGCATCGACTGCATCCGTTGCGCATGGCCTGAAAGGGGGTTGGGGCGCATCCGCCTTGCCTCGCGCATGGCCCTCAAGAAGCGGCGGGAGTGAACCGCCAGCGCTAGGCTCTGCTGTAGCTTCAGTCCCTTGGGGTCTGTCTTCCCGGCCTGGAGCACCTCGAGGGCCTCGGGTGGGAGAGCTGCCTCAGCCGCGGCGAGGCGTGCAGGCAGCGCGTGCGGGGAGCCGTGGGTAGGGTCCAGTAGGGGGAGGAGCGCGGCGACAGCAGGGTGTAACGACTCCTCCAGGGAGTATAGAAGGTGGGCGGCGCTGATCACTGAAGCGAGGTAAGCGTAGCTGCCTTCAACGGCGGGGTCAGTGATGCCCAGGCCTCCCAGAGTCACGGGCAGGGCCGCCTGCCGCCAAATCCTCCGCCTCTCCCGGGCACTCCTCGGTCTCATGATGTGGGCCGAGTCCAGGAAGGTGTGTAGGAGCTGCTCCCCCCAAGCTGACCATTCCGCTTCAGGGAGAGCTTCCAGGGGGGTGGTTCTGGCCAGAAAAGAGGCTCGGCGGCTGACACAGCGGGTAAGGAGGAGGAGGCTAAGCTGGGGGTCCATCTGGGCCAGCAGGGGGAGTGGGGATGCTGCTACTGCCAGTCTCTCTCTCACGGCGCCCGCGCACCCCCGGGGTGTGCCAACCGGGCTGCCGAGAATCTGCAGTCCCTCATCAGAGATAGTAATTCCCGGGGGCACTGCAGAGGGGTCGATTGGAGCGGCGGACCACGCCGCGCATTTGGCCGGGTTGTGTACCAGGCCGAGGGCGGCAAGTGCGGATGTGAGGTGGTCGAAAGCTGCTGTGCAGGCCGAGGCATCGCCGAGCAGCGTGATGTCATCGGCGTACGCCAGCAGGACCACCTGAGGGTGTGCCGCCGCCGTGGCAATGAGGCACGGGTGGATGCTTGCCGCGAACAGGAGGGGGCCGAGCGGGTCCCCTTGGCGAACTCCTCTGGCGCTCTGCAGCGGGGCTGCGCCGAAGTCGTGGTCGAGGTAGAGCGAGGAGGGAGCCCCGTAGGATAGGCGGACGAGGGGGATCAGCTTCTTCAGCGCCTCGTTCCTCAGTCCTTCGAACACCGCTCTCCTTTCGACCGCGTTAAAAGCGTTCGCGAGGTCGATCTGCAAGGCCACTGCAGCAGGGTGCACTTCCAGGTACGTGCGAGCGGTGTGGATAGCCGCTTCGATCCCCCTGCTACTGCCACGCCGAATTGAAGGGGGGCAAAGTGAGTACGGGCGGCTGGCGCGGTCAGGAAGAGGGCGGCCTTTGCTATAATCCGGAGGAGACACTCCCCCACCGCTATTGGCCGCGTCCCTCCTTGGGGTTTCGTAAAGGCTAGCAGGCGGGAGGCCGTGAGAAGATCCCCCGCGGCTGTTGGGAGTTTCCCTACTAGAGCTGTGTTGGAGAGGGCGAGGAGGTGGGAGAGTACTTCAGCATTCCCTAGGGCTGCGTCGCGGATATGCTCGAAAGTGGTTCCTGAGGGGCCGGCCCCGACTCCGTTGGGGAGCTTGGCGAGGAGGCGCCTGAAGTCGCGGGCTTCGATAGTGGGTGGGTCTTTAGCCGAGGTGGTGTGGAGCCAGTCAGGGAGAAGCTGGCTGGCAGGTGGATGTCTCGTCGCGAGGGCTTCCAGCACTTCAGGTGAGGCAGGTGACACAGGGGTGGCCTGGAGGGATTGGAGTGATTTTGACAGGTTACCCCGTTTTGCCAGACCTTCCGCCCGTGCCAGTATTCCAGTTGTGTCGAGTGAGTGCCGAGGCTGCGGAGGCAAGGAAATCGCCTGGACAGCTTCTTCGTATAGGTCCGCCCAGAGCCCTTGGCGAAATCGCAGGAGCCGATTCATCATCGCGCTCCAGTCAGGTTTACGGGCTGACGAGGTGCGAAGGAGTATGCGCGGGAGAAAGGTCAGTAGTTTCCATCCTGGCGCAGACTCGGGATTGGCCGCCAGGTGGAGTAACGGCGTCAACATACAGATCGCGAAGGAGTCGCGAAGGTCTTTGGGGGGGTGGCGAGCGAGAGGAGGTTGGCGACTGTCACGCAGCGGGTCGAGGTCCCAGACTGCAACCTGAGCGAATAGCTCAGAGTTTTTCGCCAGGTCGTCAGGTTTGAGCATCGGGGGGGTTGGACTCGGGGCTGCGGAATTTTCATTGGCTGTTGCAGAGTCAATTCTTTCTTCTGGAGCGGCTCGATTTCCCCTCCTTGCTTGAATTCCCCCCGCGGTTCGATTCCGAGCTGAGGTTCGGTTTGCAGGTTCACCCCTGGCCTGCTGGTTTGGGAGCTCCGCTTCCCGCAGCAGCTCCAACTCTTCCTCGTCCTCCTCGGCCTCTGCTTCTAACATCCCCTCGCTTTCAGGGTTAAAGGCAGGGTCCCCCTCTTCACTTTCCTCATTCTCCGCTTCCTCCTCTGCTTCCTCGCTAAGTGGTTCCACGTCGCCCTCCGCGCCGTTTCGCATCAGCCTTTCCACATTCCTCGCGTAGCCGCTTGCACCAGATCGGCGCCTGTTCGAACCTCGTGCTCCACCACCTCTTCGTCCTCTCTCGTTGCCTCGTCGTCCGCGGCGGCTGCCGCGTCCTACGCGGATTCCCCGCGTTGCTCGTCCCACAGCAGCTCCCCCGCGCCCTGTCTGCGGCGCCGCGGCCGTCTCGTTTTCGCTTCGTCGCCGCACTGGCGTCGGCTGCGGTAAGATCGGGGGTGATGGACCCATCCGTGAGACGGGATCCGGAGCTGGAGGGTTCCGCGGAGAGCTCGCTACCGCAGCCTGCGCCTGCCGGGCCTCGTCCGCGTCTCCCTGCGCACCCCTCCGCGAGCGAGCCCGTGCACCACTTCGAGCGGGTTCAAACGCTTCCCCATCGTCCTGCCGCGCGCCCCGCCTCGCCGGAGTATTCGTGGGCGCCTGCTCGTGTTGCGTCGAACCGCCCGGACGGTGAGCCGCGGCAGGAGCGCGGGTGCTCGCCTCTGCGGCACCCTCAACAGCCGCCCTCTCCTCGCCGCCCTTCTCCTGAGCGTCGCGAGCACTATCAGCGCGGGGAGGGGGGTAAGCGTTCTCCTGCACGTCCTCGCTCCCCTCGCTCCCCTCTCCTCCCTCGCTCGCTTCGTGCACGCGTGGACGTTCACGTGCACACACGTGGTGAATCGCACGGCTGTTATGAATGAGGACACGCTGCTGGAGCTGGTCAGGCGGCGGCCTGCTGGGACTCCGTTGATTACCATCAGCAACCACATGTCCACGTGCGTGGGGTGTTAGGCTGCGGATGCATGGGGTCGCATGGGGTCGCATGGGGTCGCATGGGGTTGCGTGGGGATTCAGGAGGTCGTGTGACCAGTGGCGCCTGCGCTGCGCTGGCCTGTCTCTCGCCCTTGTTCTCATTCCGCACTCTCCCCCGCACCAGTCTCGACGACCCGCTCCTATGGAACCAGTGGCGCCTGCGCTTCTCCTCCGCAACTGTGCCTCTGGACGCTCACAGTGTGGGACATCTGCTTTGTGACAAGTCTAAAAAATCCCCACCGCCTTCCCCCTCCCCACACCAGGCTCGACGACCCGCTCCTATGGAACCAGTGGCGCCTGCGCTTCTGCAGCCCGAGACCCTCCTCTCATCGCGTGTGCCCATTGTTTGTACCCTATCCATCCCACTCCCCCTTATTATCCCACCAGGCTCGACGGCCGCTCCTCTGGAACCAGTGGCGCCTGCGCTTCTCCAGTTGGCCCCACCCCCTTGCTTCTCTCCCTCCCCCCCCGCCCCACCCCGCCCTGCCCTGCCTCGTCCCGCCCCACCAGGCTGGACGACCCGCTCCTATGGAACCAGTGGCGCCTGCGCTTCTCCGACCCGCATAAGTGCCGCTGGACGCTCACAGCACGCGACATCTGCTTCACACACCCCTTCACCGCCTACCTCTTCCGCCTGGGTGAGTCAGAGTGGCAGGGAATGGATGTGGCAATCCCTCCAGCAATGCCAACACCATGTCGGCATGCCAACACCATGTCGGCATGCCAACACCAACACCATGTCAGTCACCGCCTACTTCTTTTGCCTCGGTCAGGCGCGGTGGCAGCGTTGGCTCTTCCCCCTTCCCCCCTCACACCTCCCCTCTTGCCATCCCCTCCCATCATCACTTCCCCCTTCCTACCCTCTTTCCTCGCCACCACCACCCCCCCTCTCCCCTCTCTCCGTGTTGCCGCCAGCCAAGTGCATCCCCATCGACCGATACGGAGGCATTTACCAGCCCGGCATCACAGAGGGGCGAGGGGCCTCTGTCCCGTTCCACCCCACAATTCAACCCCCTCCTCCCCCCTCTTCCCTCCCTCCCTTGGCGCCACCAGCCAAGTGCATCCCCGTCAACCGCTATGGTGGCATCTACTGGCCCGGCTTGACGGAGGCAGTTCAGCGGCCTCACCTTTCCTTATTTCCCTCCTCCCATCCCTTGCGGCCACCAGCCAAGTGCATCCCCATCGACCGCTACGGAGGCATCTACCAGCCCGGCATGACGGAGGCCGTTCAGCGACTCAGTGCGGGCGGATGGGTGAGTGTGGGAGAGGGATGGGTGAGTGTGGGGGAGGGATGGATGAGTGTGGGGGAGGGATGGGTGAGTGTGGGAGAGGGATGGGTGAGTGTGGGGGAGGGATGGGTGAGTGTGGGGGAGGGATGGGTGAGTGTGGGGGAGAGATGGATGAGTGTGGGGGAGGGATGGATGAGTGTGGGGGAGGGATGGATGAGTGTGGGGGAGGGATGGATGAGTGTGGGGAGGGATGGTGAGTGAGTGTGGGGAGGGATGGGTGAGTGTGGGGGAGGGATGGGTGAGTGTGGGGGAGGGATGGGTGAGTGTGGGGGAGGGATGGGTGAGTGTGGGGGAGGGATGGGTGAGTGTGGGGGAGGGATGGATGAGTGTGGGGGAGGGATGGGTGACCAGGGGCTCGGAAGAGGAGAGGGAGGAGAGGAACTGAAGGGGGAAAAGACGGAGGTAAAAGTGGCTGAGTGCATTTACCACTGCCAGCCTGGCATGACGGAGGCCGTTCAGCGGCTCAGTGCGGGCGGATGGGTGAGTGCAGCGTGGGGGGGGGGGGGATTCGGGGGAAGGGGAAAGACGAGATGAAGGGGGGAAAGAGGGAAGTGGAAAGTGGCTCAGAGCGTCTGCCCGCCGGGCATGACTAATGCCATTCAGTGGCTCAGTGGCTCAGTGCGGGTGGATGGGTGAGTGGAAGATCTCGTGAATTAGCAGCCTGTGCTATCAATCAAGCCTGTGCTATCAATCAAGCCTGTGCTATCAATCAAGCCTGTGCTATCAATCAAGCCTGTGCTATCAATCAAGCCTGTGCTATCAATCAAGCCTGTGCTATCAATCAAGCCTGTGCTATCAATCAAGCCTGTGCTATCAATCAAGCCTGTGCTATCAATCAAGCCTGTGCTATCAATCAAGCCTGTGCTATCAATCAAGCCTGTGCTATCAATCAAGCCTGTGCTATCAATCAACCCACACACCACTCACCCTCCTCCGCCTCTTCTCCCTCCTTCCCCCCCGCGTCCTCCCCTTGCCCTTCCCTCCGCGTTAAAACCGCCCACTCTCTCCATTCACACCCCACCCACCCCACTCTACCTTATTCCACTCCATCTGCGCATCTTCTTCCCAGAGGGGCGCATCTTCTTCCCAGAGGGGCGCATCTTCTTCCCAGAGGGGCGCATCTTCTTCCCAGAGGGGCGCATGGTCGCACAGGACCACGTGGGCTTGGCACGACTCAGATTTCTCTTGAAGATCTTCCCAAGTACCTCCCACCCCATTCCACCGTATTCCACTCCTCTCCAGTTGATCATCTGCCCGGAGGGGCGATCACCCAGGAGCACGTGGCCCTGTCGCGCCTCATGTTGTTGCTCTATAACCTCCTTCCTGATGCCCGCTTCCAACCCCGCTCCACCCCATTCCAGTCGACACCCCACTCCACCTTACTCCACCGCAGCTGCACGTCTTCCCAGAGGGGCGTATCACCCAGGAGCATGTGGCAATGGCGCGCCTCAAGGGTCCTTCAGATCATTACAAATACTTCCCACATATTCCACCCCATCCCACCCCATTCCACCCCATTCCACCCCATTCCACCCCGTTCCACCCTGCTAGACGCCGTTCCACTGGATTGCACTTCCCCCTCCCCAGCTGCACATCTGCCCAGAGGGGCGCATCAACCAGGAGCACATCGCCTTGTCGCATCTCAAGTGTTTTTTCAGCTCTTTCCAAATACCTCCCACCCCATTCCACCGCATTCCTCTGCCTTCCACCGCATTCCACCCCTCCCCAGCTGCACATCCTCTCACAAAAACACATCACCCAGGAGCATGTGGCATTGGCGCGCCTCAAGTGTTTCCTTCAGCTTTTTCCAAATACCTCCCACCCATCCCACCCCACCGCATTCCACCCCTCCAACTGCACATCTTTTCAGAGGGGCGCATCACCCAGGAGCACGTGGCATTGGCGTACCTCAAGTGTTTCCTTCAGCTTTTTCCAAATACCTCCCACCCATCCCACCCCACCGCATTCCACCGCATTCCACCCCTCTCCAACTGCACATCTTTTCAGAGGGGCGCATCACCCAGGAGCACGTGGCATTGGCGCACCTCAAGTGTTTCCTTCAGCTTTTTCCAAATACCTCCCACCCATCCCACCCCACCGCATTCCGCCCCTCTCCAGCTGCACATCTTCCCAGAGGGGCGCATCACCCAGGAGCACGTGGCATTGGCGCACCTCAAGTGTTTCCTTCAGCTTTTTCCAAATACCTCCCACCCATCCCACCCCACCGCATTCCGCCCCTCTCCAGCTGCACATCTTCCCAGAGGGGCGCATCACCCAGGAGCACGTGGCATTGGCACGCCTCAAGTGGGGGCTCGCATCGGTCATCGACCGCTGCACCTCCCCTGTCCCCCCTATCATCCTCTGTGTGGCACACAGCGGCTTTGAGAATGTGAGTGATGTGTGTATGCAGCAGCTTCGATAGTAAGCCTGCATGTCACCTGCATGCATGTCACTTGCATGTCTTGCTGCATCCGCACGCCTCAAGTGGGGGCAGGCGTCGGTCATCGACCGCTGCACCTCGCCCGTCCCCCCCATCATCCTCTGTGTGGCACGGCACACAATGGCTTTGAGAATGTGAGTGCCGTGTGCACCCAGCAGCTTTCATAAATGTGCATCCATCCACTCCCCATGTGCCCAGCGGCTCTCCTCTGTGTGTCTCACAAAGCAGCGCGCTTGAGAAAGCGAGTAGTATGCTTTTGAGTCGACTCAAAATGAGAATGCGAGTAGTATGTGCCTGCATCCACTTTTCATGTACTTGTTGTGAGCGTCATGTGCCGGATCCACAAGAGCCCGTCTGGCCAGCTGGGCCACTGTGGAAAGTTGCATGTCCTGCTCCGTTGCCGGTTCTTCTCTTAGCAGCTCACTGCAGGTTTGAGAATGCAAGTGTGGTGGTTGAGGGGACCTTCCGCTTCCACATCGTGACACGCCCTCTCTTACTTCCTCTCTCACTCTCCTCTCTCCTACACCGCCAAGTCATGCCTGAGCCACGTGCGTTTGGGCACAGGGCCATAGCCCCGCTGTGGGGGCAGCGCATAGCAGTGGTGGTGGGGGAGCCGTTTTGCTTCCACACACTCATACGCTCTCTCTCATTCCCTCACTCACTCCCTCACTCATTACCCTTCCTCCCACAACCCCAGGTCATGCCTGAGCCACGTCCATTCGGGCACAGGGCCATAGCGCCCCTGTGGGGGCAGCGCATAGCAGTGGTGGTGGGGGAGCCGTTTCAATTCAACACTCTTACCATCCTCCCTCTCTCCCTCACTCCCTCACTCTCTCTCTCCCATCCCTCAACCCCAGGTGATGCTTGAGCCGTGTGCGTTCGGCCACAAGGCCATAGCGCCACTGTGGGGGCAGCGCATAGCGGTGGTGGTGGGGGAGCCCTTCTGCTTCCACGCACTTACACACCCTCACGTGCTCCGTCACTCCCTCCCACTCTCAGGTCATGCCTGAGCCACGGGCGTTCGGGCACAGGGCCATAGCGCCGCTGTGGGGGCAGCGAATAGCGGTGGTGGTGGGGGAGCCGTTCCAATTCAACATGCCGGCGCTCAGAGCAGCTGCCGCCCACGCTGCTGACCACCCAGACGACTCACCCTTCGGGGTCGAACCCACTCCGCCTGCTCCCGCTCCCCCCACTGCTGCTGCTAGTGATGCTGCTGGTGGTGCTGGTGCTGGTGCTGCTGCTGCTGCTGCTGGTGCTGGTTCTGATTCCACTGCTGCTCCTGCTGGTTCTGCTGATGCTGCTGCTCCGAACGCTCCTGCTGGTCCAGCAGCAGGCAGGGAAGCAACGGTGGTGGAAGTGGGAGGGGGCAGCAGTGCAGTGAAGGACGAGGCAACGAGGAGGCTGTACGCGTTCATCACAGGGGAGGTGCGGCACCGGCTGCAGGGTGCAGTGGATGAAGCACACCTGAGGCAAGCAGACGGGTGCTGCCGATGAGTGCTGCTGAGTGCTGCTGATTGCTGCCGATGAGTGCTGCTGAGTGCTGCTGAGTGCTGCTGAGTGCTGCTGAGTGCTGCTGAGTGCTGCTGAGTGCTGCTGAGTGCTGCTCGTGAGTGCATGCCTGCTGCATGCTGCATTCCAGACACAGGGTTATGCTTCAGCTTTTCTGGCTCATCACGGGGGAGATGCGGTGCCGGCTGCTGGGTGCAGTGGATGAGGCACACAGGCGCCAGGCAGATGGGTGTTGGTGATAGCTGGTGCTCATGGGTGCATGCTTGCTGGATTCTTGACTTTTGAGTCGACTCAAAAGTTAACTGGTGCTCATGGGTGCATGCTTGCTGGATTCGGCACTCTGACCAAAATCACTGCCGCTCTTGCTTTTCGGGTTCATCACAGGGGAGGTGTGGCACAGAGTGTAGGGTGCTGATAAGTGCTGCTCGTGGGTGCATGCTGATTTTATCATGCAGCAAACGCTTCTGCTTTTCACAGGAGAGGTGTGGCACAGGCTGCAGGCAGCAGTAAATGAAGCACACCAAATGGAAGGCAGATGGGTGCTGCTGACTGCTGCTGCTGCTCCTGCTGCTGCTGCTGCATGGACAGCTATAGCTTCAGCTTAGCTTGTTCATCACAGGGGAGGTGCGGCACAGGCTACAGGCTGTAGCAAATGAAGCACACCAAGCGGTAGGCAGATGGGTGCTGCTGACTGCTGCTCGCAATTGCATACATGCTCACAAGTTCATACCCTACTGCCGCGGTACCGCCTAACGCCACAACACCATGCAACAGACACGGAGCACATTTCCCCTCGTACTGTAGGAGTTTTAAAGGCTTTTTTTTTAGCCGATATGAAATCGACAACTGCATGATGCGTGTCGTGTTTTTTGCACGGCATGGTACTCCAATTTTCTACAAGCTACAGTATTTCCTGATGATTGAATGCGCGGTTTGCAATTGGTTGATTCCTTATTTTCAGTTTGTGTTGATAAATTTCCGTGCACTAGTGCGGGCGGCTTGATTTTAACATATATATGAGATTTGTCGTGAGGAAAAACATGTAAGGTATAACTTACCAGTTTCAATCAAGCCTTCACACTATACACAACTTACAAAGTTGCACACACTGCACCTACCTACTGATACCATACCGATACCATACGAGACATACTGCGGATATAGCACAGATGCAGGATACCGGTAAGTCTTCTCTACCCCTCAAGTACTAAATGAGTCTTCCATGCGTCCAGTATTTGCTCCAAGGTGAGTCGATCTTCCCACTCAGTCAGAATGGCCCCGCGCACCACCCCCACCAGAAACCTCGCCTGCTCCTCAGTCCACTGCCCCTCCAGGCTCTTATCCACCACCTCGCTGTAATCCGCAAAGTCTGGATCGGTGAGCTTCTCCCTGGGCTCTTGAAAGCCCTCGTCCAATGCGGGGTAGCCGGTCATGAGCTCTAGCAGAAAGATTCCGAAAGCGAACGTGTCGCAGTGTGCAGATAGGTATCCTGAGGGGGAGAAAGGGGAGCAGGTCAGTAGGATGGTGAAAAGAGCAGTCAAACACGGTGTATCCGGGAGCAGGAAGACGTACGTGTCGCAGTGTGCGGAGACATCCTGAGGGGGAGAAAGGGAAGAAGAGCAGTCGTGTGAATAAAAGGAGTCGACTAATGCAGGGTATGCTATCACGAGCTCTAGTAGGAAGATCCCGAAAGCAAACGAGTTGCAGTGTGCGGATAGATACCCTGAGGGGGAGAAGGGGGAGAAGAGAGTTGGATGATGAAAAGTATCGCCTAGCACTAGGTATCTGGTCACGAGCTCTGGCAGGAACACCCCCTTACACGTTCGGACGTGAACGTGACAAGCTCTAGAAGGAAGATTCTGAGCGCATATGTGTCGCAGTGCGCTGATAGGTGTCCTGAGGGGAAGAACGGGGAGAAGAGCAGTCGTATAAATGAAAGGAGTCGGCTAATGCAGGGTATCCTGTCATGAGCTCTAGCAGGAAGATTCCGAAAGCGTACGTGTCGCAGTGTGCAGATAGGTACCCTGAGGGGGAGAAAGGGAAGAAGAGCAGTTGAGTGATAGGAGGGAGTTGTCTAGCGCGGTGCATCCAGAGAAGGGCTCTAGCAGGAGCGAACGTGTTGCAGTGAGCGGATAGGTACCCCGAGGGGAACAAAAAGGAAGAAGAGAAGTCGTATAAATGAAAGGAGTCGGCTAATGCAGGGTGTCCTCTCACGAGGTCTGGCAAGAAGAGTCCGAAAGCGTACGTGTCGCAGTGCGCGGATAGGTACCCTGAGGGGGAGAAGAGGAAGAAGAGCAGTTGAATGATAGGAGGGAGTTGTCTAACGCGGTGCATCCAGAGACAAGGCTGGCTCACCTCTCTTAAAGTACGAAGGCTGGCAGTTGAGTAAACTCAAACGTGAGCTACCTATCTGTGGCCCTGCAGCCTGAGCCATGGTAACACACAACGCAACACGGCGACTCACCTCTCTCAAACTACGAAGGCTGGCAGTTGAGTCGGCGTAAACGTCAGCTACCTAGCTGTGGCCCTGCAGCCTGGGGCGACAATAACAGCGAGGAACACGCAACGGCTGCAAACCTCTCTCAACGCATGCCAAGCCCATGTTGCATTGAGCCATGGTAACACGCTGAACACGCTGAACACACAACACCGCAGGCTCACCTCTCTCAAAGTACGATGGATCCATGTAGCCCATCGACCCAGCCACTCGCGTCGTGACATGTGTCTTGTCCTGGCATGTCTTGGCCAATCCGAAATCCGCCACCTTTGGAACAAGTGACTGGAAACACGCAGAGATGAAGAAGAAAAGAAGAGCAGATGGGAGCGATCAGTTCAGTCCAACCCAGCTCCATACGCAGGAAAACATGCTTTCTTCTGTCATGCCTTCACGTATCCTGGATCCACCATGCCATGCCTCTGAAATTGAGTTGCAGGTATGAGAGGAGCATTGCAATTTTAAGCACAAAATCGAAGATTTGACAATGGTGTGCTGAGCATGAAACACATTGTGTGTTGAGTATGAAACACTTGATATGGAGTATCGTGAAACACATTGGCGGCGCCCTTACCACACGGACCAAGTTTACACAGTGTGGTATGCATTGAAGGCACGGCACTTTGATGGGACCCCTACCTTCGTGAGAAGCACATTGGCGGACTTGAAGTCACGGTGAATGAATCCCGCCTCATGAATCGCAGCCAGCCCTTCAAGACTCCCCTCCGCTACTCGCAACCGGTCCTTCCAAGGGAAGGGTTTTTCTCCACTCCTTGCTGCTTGGACAGGCACGTGTAAGCACACATGCAAGTGGGGAGGGAGGAAGGCAGGAAGGAAGGCGTTACAGAGGAGATGAGCTGCAGCCTGAAACTTACTTCTGAGACATCAGAAAAGTCGTCTCAAGAGACGTCTCAAAAGTCAGAGGAGATGAGCCGAAGTCTGAAACTGGTTAGATGATGCCATTTCCACCTCATTCCATCCCATTCCACCCTGTTTCACACCCCGTATTTTTTTTCTCTAATCACTGCTAAACATCCCTGCCCGGGACAGACTCGGACACCATCGATATGGTTTACCCCGTAAAGTGTGCACATGCTCATGCACCCAGTCAACCGCATTCAACACCCCTGTACCGCTGAGAGACACCCCCATCCGGCACGAATTCAGAGACCTTGAAGATGGTTTGTCTCGTCATGTGTGCAAATGCCCACCCCGTTTCACCACATTACACCTCATTTCACCGCATTACACCCCCGTGTACCTTTTTCTAACCGCTGCGAAACATCTCCGCCCGGGACGAACTCAGAGACCATTGAAATGGTTTGCCCCTGGACGGCCATTCCCAACAGCCGCAGCACGTTGGGATGGCGGAGAGCCGTCATTACCATGATCTCCGTCTGAGAAGGGTGGGGGGAGGGGAGGGGCGGAAAGGGGAAGGGGAGGGGCGGAAAGGGGGAGGGGAGGGGCGGAAAGGGGGAGGGGAGGGGTGGAAAGAGGGAGGGGAGGGAAGGGGGCGTATGGAAGAGAGAAGGGGGGAGCCATCATCACCACGATCTCCGTCTGAGAAGGGTGGGGGGAGGGGGGTAAGGGTACGACGGCTGTTGCAAGTAACATAGTCAATTAACTGGCGCAGAGCCGCCATCCCCATTATCTCCACTCCACATGACGGAGTGGTATTTCTCAATACGTTTAAAGACCCTGCTGGTGGGAGGAGATGAGATTCTTGATACGTCGAATACCCTGCTGGTGGGATGACCGCCCAGCACTCCCTCTCCAACAGCTGCTCCCTTCCCCTCTTTATCTTTTGATAATTCTCAAAGATCACATTGGGGGGACGTGACTCCATGAAAACAGGTGGTGTGCCTTGAAAGGCGGACAATCACTCACCATCAGCTGCTCCCTTCCCCCAGAATTTTCTTCTTCCTCAATATGACACATCTTCACCGCCACCGGAACAAACCTCTTCCCATCCACCTCCACCACTTCCAACCCCTCCAATGTCTCCTCAAATCCCTCCTCCACCTCCTCCTCATCCTCTCCGTCCTCCCCATCCCCTTCCCCTTCCCCGTGCGCTTCCCCATCGCCCCCGCGGGGCAGCAGCAGCATGCCCTTGTAGACGGCGCCGAAGCCGCCTTCCCCCAGCTTGGTGCGCCAGTCGCCCGTCGCCCGCCGCAGCTCCTCCTGCGAGTACCGCGGCAGCGCGCCGTCCCCCCCCACCGCGCGCATCGCCACCGGCTTCAGGTCATGGCTTTCTGAGGAGGAAGGGGGGGTGGGGAGGGGGGGGAGGGGAGGGGAGGAGAAGGAGCGGGAAGGAAGGGCAAGGAAATGAGAGGGTCCCACCACCCCCACCGGCTTCAGCGCACCGTCCTCTGGGAGGAGGGACCAAGGGAAACAGGAATGGAGGAGGGTACTCTGTGACCAATCAATTACTAGTTATTTATTTCTATAATAAGTGGAAGTGATCGCTGCGTGTGTGTGCGCGTGTGCGTGCGTGCGTGTGTGCGTGTGCGTGCGTGCGTGCGTACGTGCGTGCGTGCGCGCGAGCGTGTGAGTCGTTCCTTGCGTCCAGCGGATCAGTACTGCTTACGGGCAAAACGAGCCGCGCACAGATCCACGAGAAAACCGGGACACAGTGAACCCAACCGCATTGAACCCACCAGAAACCCGTCATACTACACAATCAAGCAGAGCATGCCGCGTTTCAAGCCGTTACTCGTGACTCACTCGCGTCTTTGCTTTCACGTGTAGACGGCCCTCCCCCGAAGCAAGAGCAGAAGACCATCACTCAAGGCTTGGTGTGCGATAAAGAAAAACTCGGGATTAAAAGCTCGATCTTGGACAGGGACGATCGCGGTGGCAGGTGGTGTCGATACGGTATGCTAAGAATGGTCAATATAACTACCGTGTGGTGCTCCGTGGGTGTTTCTCTCTCCTTTGGTGGCGTGATTTTCTAGCGTCTTCAACCCGCAATATTTGCTAACTACGAGACGATCGAACCCGCAATATAATGCGCACGATGACAACCGACAAACTAAGTAAGAGAAGTACGAGATGATAGGAACTCCAGGTGCTCCTGGTAAGAGAAGTGCTCTAGCTGGAGATGAGATAAGTGCTCTTGATGTTCTCTTCTTTGACAAAAACTGGTGCTGTTGTGGTGTGGCACCCAGACAACAGCCACTCGAATCTTGGGATTGGGAGTTGGAACTTATACAGCGTACATGAAGAGGAAATGCAATTGGCGGACGTTTGTAACGAAATCAGTGATTGGATGAGAACGACACGACACGCCACGACGACCGAAGGCGTGAAATTTTCCATCGGGGAGGGGCTCTGTCGCTCGCGAAGTTTCTGTTCTGAACTTGTTCAGGTCAAGGTACATCATTACCTCCAATGAAAGCATTGCGCTGTGCTGCGACACACCGTACAGTACACGGAAGTTCAGGTCGAGCTGGAGACCGACGACAACCAAGCAATGCAAAACCTGCCCGTACGGTCACCAAACGGTCCGTAAGCTGGCGAATCATCACCTGTAAGTTGAAAAGGACCAAACGATGGGTGCGCCCTTGCCTAGCAGGGAGGGATTGAACTGGGAAGCGTAAACACCTGAATTGCCTTGTTTAGGGTGCGTCAGATCCGTTGTCGGAAAAATCTTGCCGGCCGGAATTAGCAATAGTAACAATTTTGCGACCCTCGCACAAACTGTCGTCGAGTTCGCTAAATCCGGCCATTTGTAAAAAAAAAATGATGGCCGGTTCAGCATTCGACAAAGTTCCGACGTGCAGTCGACTCGAAAGTCGACCAATTTGTCAACCTGAGATCGCTACAGTCACTATACGACGTCGCCAGCTCGTGCGACGCAACGTTTCACACAAGTACTGCATCTGCGACTCCGTCGCACAATCCGGCCACCCTAGCGAACTGAAAATCTGACACATTTGCAAAGCGGCCTGCAAATGTGTCAGATTTTTCGGCCCTGTAAATGTGGCCGGATATTGGTCGCTTTTTATGTCGACCACGTTGTCGACTTTGGCCAAAGATACTGTCGACCAAATTGTCGACAAAATTCCAGCCAAATCACATTGCAGCGGATCTGACGCACCCTTACTGCGATGACACGAAACATGCGTCAGTAAGGGCGTGTAAAATCGCCACACTTCAAAATTCGGCCACTAGCCAAGTGGCCGAATTGGCGAAAGTAACCCGTTTGAGAAAACTTCGAAGACGCTCGCGACCGTCGTCAACTTCGCCAAGAAAAAGCGAAATTGTTGGCCGTTTTGAAAGTCGACTCGTATCCGACACCATGTCGACTCCAGGTAGTCGACACCGTGAACGACTGTCATGTACGACGTCGTACGGTCTCGTACAACGACTGAAAGATTTATCCTGTCCAATCAAAGACGTCGCCGTCAAATGTGCGACCCAGTCGTACATACGTTCCAACTGTAGCAACTGCAAATTTTACAACTTTTTGAAACCGGCCTGAAATTCGGCCCTCAAACCTGTAAAGTTTGCAAATCTGCAAATAGTGGCAGTAAATGTGACGACACGAAGTCGACCAATCCGTCGACTTTCGAGAAAGAAATGTCGACCCAGATGGTCGACGTAAAACCGGCCAATAGCAGATTTCGCAAATTTGCGGGGATTTTACGCGCCCTAAACGGCTGCCTTGCCTCCCTCCTGGTGCCCAGACCAGACCAGACCCCACACCAGCTTGTTCTCACAAGAGAGCGGTTGAGTACGATATTGTGCACTCTGGAGTTATTGTTTACCACTCTGAACCGCTCGCTACTCACCAGCCTGAACACTCGTACACCAATTGCACAGCAAACGAACGTGCGTTGAAGTGGCTGGAATTGCTCGCTCTGGACTGCGTTCTGTGGGTATTCGCATGATCAACCCGACCATGAATTGAAGCCCCGGAGCCCAGAGTGGGGAACCTGCGACGCTGAGTGTGTGTCCTTTCTTTCAGATCTCCCACGAACGGCATCGAAGCCATGGGTTTGAAACGTGCCACGGTGGCCCGTGCGATGTTTCCCAGTCGTACGATACCGTCTTGACGTTTTCTGTAACCGTCAGGTCCGACAACGCAAGGACGGCAATACAGAACGTGGCAACTTGGCGCTGAGCTGGATATTGAAAACCAACGAATGCAGAATCTTCCCGCAAGCCACGGCCAGTGGGTCGATCACTTCGACTTTGCCACTGAGAATCCCCCAAAATCCCGCGGAACGCAAAAACGCTTTGACGGCTGCGTATGCACGCACAAAACAAGCGTCATAATTGACGTGAACCGAGCAACTCATTCGCGAAGGTAGAGTCGTAAGTGACGTGCCTCCCAGACCGAGCAACTCACTCGTGAAGGTAGCGTCATAAGTAGCGTGCCTTCGAAACCGAGCAACTCACTCGTGAAGGTAGCGTTATGAGGAGTGTGCCTTCGAAACCGAGCAACTCACTCGTGAAGGTCGCAGACAGGTTGTTTGGCTAGAACAGTCATGTGGCTGGTTTTACTGTGTTTGTAGACATCGAGCCGCGAGAAATGCACAATTTCCGATCGCGCGGGAAAAGACCGATTTGTGCTTTTGAGACAAGGCAGTACAGTGCACCAACGGATGTTCTCAAGGCGGGTCGTCCCGCCCGAAAGTTTCACCACGTTCAGTTCAGCTCAAGCGGTTGGGAAGGTGTAAACATTTCACCACTCTGAACCGCTACGCACCAGCCCGAACATCTATGCATGAGTTGTGAACAAATTTTCTGGACCTGCTTGGAGGCACAAATTGGTCGCAACTGACAAATGCCTTCTAGGTTACCAGAACAGGTAAAATAGGTCTGGATATATCGTCTCCGCACTTACGAAGTCGCGGTTTCAGAACGTCATGTCGATTTTAACTTGAGCTAGGCTTGACAATTGAATCAGCAACAACGCCAACCGTAGCATACCGTATCCACACCAATTACCACCACAATCTTCCATTTCCGAACCTGAGCCTCAGTATGCCGAACTTCTGTTCCTGCTTCGGAGGAACCCCGACCCACGAGACGGGACAACGGCCGGCCCACGAGACGGCAGAGAGGCCGTCCATTTCCTCCTGGTTCGGGGGCATGGCGTCATCTCTCGGTGGAGCCGCGGGTGAGTCACCCTCAGGGGACGTTTGCTCTTTGACGTGCGCCCACGCTCCACTTACTCCCCGCCTCCCGTACCTTCCCCCTTCCCCCCTTCCCCCTTCTCCCTTCCCCCTTCCCCCTTCCCCCTTACCCCCTTCCACCTTCCCCTTTCCCCTTTTTCCTCTTCTTGTACCGTCCATTTCCTCCTGGCTCGGGGGCGTGGCGTCATCTCTCGGTGGAGCCGCGGGTGAGTCACCTTAAGAGATGCGGCGGTGGGGGCGGGGGGCGGAGGGCGCGGTGGGGGCGGGGGCGGAGGGTGCGGTGGGGGCGGAGGGCGTGGTGGGGGCGGAGGGTGCGGTGGGGGCGGAGGGCGTGGTGGGGGCGGAGGGCGTGGTGGGGGCGGAGGGCGTGGTGGGGGCGGAGGGCGTGGTGGGGGCGGAGGGCGTGGTGGGGGCGGAGGGCGTGGTGGGGGCGGAGGGCGTGGTGGGGGCGGAGGGCGTGGTGGGGGCGGAGGGCGTGGTGGGGGCGGAGGGCGTGGTGGGGGGGGAGGGCGTGGTGGGGGCGGAGGGCGTGGTGGGGGCGGAGGGCGTGGTGGGGGCGGAGGGCGCGCTGCAGTGGGACTCACAGGAGGAGCTGTGGTGGGCAACGGGCAACTGGCGCACCAAGCTGGGGGAAGCCTGGAAGGCGTTCCCCCACGCACCGCACTTCCCTCCAAGAACCCCTTCCCTCCACAAACCCCCTCCCTCCTCCCTCCCTGCTTCCCTTGGCCCCATCCCCTTCCCCTCCCCGGCCTTATCTCCTCTTTCCCCCCACAACCTTTTCGTCTCCCCCAACAAAAGATCATGATTTAAAGCCCGTGGAAATGAAGGCGGTGGGCGCGGAGGGCGCGCTGCCGCGGTACTCGCAGGAGGAGCTGCGGCGGGCGACGGGCGACTGGCGCACCAAGCTGGGGGAAGGCGGCTTCGGCGCCGTCTACAAGGGCATGCTGCTGCTGCCTCAAGGGGGCGAAGGGGACGGGGACGGGGGAGATGGCAGGGGAGGGGATAGGGAAGGGGATGGGGAGGATGGGGAGGGGGGGGGAGGGGGTTGAGGAGAGATTGGAGGGGTTGGAAGTGGTGGAGGTGGATGGGAAGCGGTTTGTTGCGGTGGCGGTGAAGATGTGCTTGACAGAGGGCGATGTGCACGGGGGGAGAGAGCAGCTGCTGGTGAGTATAGGCCATGTGCTGTTGAGCTTATGCCATGCTGCTGTTGAGCTTATGCCATGCTGCTGTTGAGCTTATGCCATGCTGCTGTTGAGCTTATGCCATGCTGCTGTTGAGCTTATGCCATGCTTCTGTTGGTGAGCCGTTGCCTGCCATGCTGTTGGTTAGCATATGCCATGCTTCTGTTGGTGAGCCTTTGCCTGCCATGCTGCTGTTGAGCTTATGCCATGCTTCTGTTGGTGAGCCTTTGCCTGCCATGCTGCTGTTGAGCTTATGCCATGCTTCTGTTGGTGAGCCGTTGCCTGCCATGCTGTTGGTTAGCATATGCCATGCTTCTGTTGGTGAGCCTTTGCCTGCCATGCTGCTGTTGAGCTTATGCCATGCTTCTGTTGGTGAGCCTTTGCCTGCCATGCTGCTGTTGAGCTTATGCCATGCTTCTGTTGGTGAGCCGTTGCCTGCCATGCTGTTGGTTAGCATATGCCATGCTTCTGTTGGTGAGCCTTTGCCTGCCATGCTGTTGGTTAGCATATGCCATGCTTCTGTTGGTGAGCCTTTGCCTGCCATGCTGGAGCGATAAGCCAGTTCCTCCTGACACTTTCGGGTGCACGTTTCATGTGCAACTGCTCTGCTCCTCATGCTTCACATCACACACACTTTTGGGGATTCACGAAAGTGACTCGCTTCATGTACACCTGCTCTGCTCCTCATGCTTCACACTCACCTCCTTCTGCCCAAGTTAACTTGACCTGCTTTCTCAGCCATTCATTGTCCCTTCCATTGCCTTTTCCACCCCCCTGACCCCCCACCCCTCTCCCCCTATTCTCAGACGGAGATCATGGTCATCACGGCTCTCTGCCATTGTCCCTTTCCCTTCCCCTTCCCCTCTCCCCCTCCTCTCTTCTCCTCCCCAACTCCCCTCCTCCCTACCTTCTCAGACAGAAATCATGGTGATGACGACTCTCCGGCTATTAACCTGATGTGTTATTGCTACCCGATTTACCCGCCCCTCTCCACTACTCTCTCCTCCCTCCCCCCTCAGACAGAGATCATGGTGATGACGGCTCTCCGCCATCCCAACGTGCTGCGGCTGCTGGGGATTGCCATGTGGGGGCAAACCATCTCCATGGTCTCTGAGTTCGTCCCGGGCGGGGATGTTTCTCAGCGGTTAGAGAAAGGTAGGGTGGGGTGGAATGCGGTGGAATGGGGTGGTCATGTGCGCACATGATAGGCAAACCATCTCCATGGTCTCTGAGTTCGTCCCGGGCGGGGATGTTTCTCAGCAGTTAGAGAAAGGTAGGGTGGGGTGGAATGCGGTGGAATGGGGTGGTCATGTGCGCACATGATAGGCAAACCATCTCCATGGTCTCTGAGTTCGTCCCGGGTGGGGGTGGGGATGTTTCTCAGCGGCTAGGGGAAGGTACAGAGGGGTGCGGTGGAATGGAGTGCAGTGTGGTGGAATGGGCAGAGCATGTGCACACATGATGGGGCAAACCATTCCAATGGTCTCTGAGTTCGTCCCGGGTGGATGTTTCTCAGCAGTTAGGGAAAGGTACAGAGGGGTGGAAAGTGGTGGAATGGGGTGTAATCCGGTGGAATGGGGTGAGCATGTGCACACACACGTTATGGGGCAAACCATGTCAGTGGTCTTTGAATTCTTCCCGAGCAGGAGTGTTTCTCAGTGTCTTTTGAAAGGTAATGCGTTCGATGCTGTGTTGTGAGGTGACGTGTCGTCATGATGCAAAGGGTTCTAAGAAAAAGGGCGTCCCATGTGTTGCACCCATCATGCGATGCTGCACCCATCATGCGATGCTGCACCCATCATGCGATGCTGCACCCATCATGCGATGCTGCACGTCACTTCACAACATATGTGTTGCACCCATGTGTTGTGAGGTGTCGTGTCGTCCCATGTGTTTTTTTCTTTTTTCAACTCGATGGAAGTTTCGCACTGCCTCTCGGCTGTGTCGTAGGAGATTGAGAAGGAGCGCCAGGTGCGATGTTGTGAGGTGTGGTGTGGCATGGTGTGATGCGGTGCACATACTCTCTTTCCCCCCACCCTTTTCTGTCTCTCTCCTTCTCCCACCCCCCTCCCTTCTCTTTTGTCTGTTGGGTGTGCAAGCAGCAGCCAAGGGCATAGAGCCCTTTCCCTGGAAGGACCGGCTGAGCATAGCGGTGGGGAGTGTGGCGGGGCTAGCAGCGATCCACAAGGAGGGCTTTATCCACCGTGATTTCAAAGCTGCCAACGTGCTTCTAACGAAGGTGGGTCATGCCAAAATGAGTCACTCAATGTGCGTCTAACGAATATCCTTTGAATGAGCTTCTAAGGCAGTGGAGTCCTGGTAATGTGCATCAAACCAAGGTGACTCATGCCAACGTGCTTCTCACCAAGCTCTGACTCCCTCCCAGATGGCAAAATATCCTCTCTTTTTTTCCTTTTCGACCTTTTGTGTCACTCTATTGCATGTGCCCTCCCAGGACCTCGTGCCAAAGGTGGCGGATTTTGGGTTAGCCAAGACATGCCAGGACAGGACACATGTCACGACACGAGTGGCCGGCTCGCAGGGCTACATCGACCCCTCATACTTTGAGACAGGTGGGGTGCTTTTCCGCCCGCCGATGCATCTGTGTTTCTTGAGACGTCTCAAAACCCGACTTTTATCACGTCGCCGGCTCCCAGGGCTACATCAACCCTTCGTATTTTGAGACAGGTGGGGTGCCTTCCAGTTTACCAATGCATCTGTCTTTCATCCTCTGGGCACTTCACACTACTTTTTTGAGACGTCTCAAAGATCGCAGGGCTACATCGAACCTTCGTATTTTGAGACAGGTGAGGTCCTTTTCAGCCCACCGGTGCATCTGTGTTTCTTCTTCGGGTGCCTTTACTACTGCCACCGCTGGTGCTGGCACTTCTTGACTCGTAATTGAAGGGCAGCAGTACGTGAAGGCGACGCTTGAGCAACAGGATCAACCGTGAGAAAATAGTGGTAAAAAAGCAGATCTCAAAAACGCCTTGTCTTGAAAAGAGCCTTCTTGCGTAAAAGGCCTACTGCCACCGCTGGAGCTGGCACTGGTGCTGTCACCATCATCTTCCAACCTCCCCCCTCCAACCCTCCCCTCCCCTCCTGTTCCGTCCCCTACCCTCCGCTATCCTCCCCTCCCCTCCCCTCCCCTTCCCCCCACCTCACCACCTATCAGGCTTACTAACAGAGCACTGTAACATCTTCGCGTGGGGCATTTTCCTGCTAGAACTCCTCTTGAGCTGCTGCGACCTTTGAGTCGACTTGAAAATCCCCCTACCCTCCCCTCCTTTCCCCTACTCACCACCCACCAGGCTTACTGACAGAGCACTGTGACACCTTTGCGTGGGGCATCTTCTTGCTGGAACTCCTCTCGGGCTGCTGTGTAAATGACCGACCGTTTTCACAACTGCAAAACCTCGCCACCGATCCCAATCTCTCAGACTACTCCCAAGTGGTGGACAAGAGTCTGGAGGGGCAGTGGAGCGAGGAGGAGGTGCGAGTGGTGGTGTTTGCGATATGTGATGCGATTCAGCCTGATTGGGGAAGCCGACCCACCACAAAGCAATTGCTAGAAAGATTAAGAAAGATTGCACCAGAGTAGTAGCAACTAGGAAGTGTTGATGTAAATATTGAATCTTAGTATTGTAAGTGCTGCTCGAAGCCACATAATGCGTGTACACGTTTATTTCAAGATTTTGCATGCGCTGCAAACTCCCTTCGGTCAAGCCAGCCAATTGGAGAGCATGCTTTTGCCTCGCCTTGCAGCAAGCACCGCCCACCGATTTCTCCAGCGCGCCCCGCCACAAGCCGCTTCCAAGCTGAGGAAGGTGGCTACGAGCCACGTCTGCCTAGCCGGAGCTCCGTCTCTGGTTGCCTTTTCCGAGCCAACTGCTCTGCGCACTCACCTCACCAAGGCTGTGTAGATATCTGACCCACAACATCCCGAACCTAATCGTCCAGCCGCCAAAGAATCTCGGCTGGTGAGGGGAGAGGCTAGTGTGTTACGTTCGGTGTGTGGAGCCCAGGCGCCAAAGCTAGTCAGTTCGGTTCGGACGTGGCTGGTCTCATCAGCGACACGTCAATCTCTTGGAATCGGGGGACCAGGTTTCGGAAGATCAAGACCAAAATGGGTGCGCCTGTGGGGGAATGAAAGCAGCCATAAGAAAAGCACAGGCGTGTGGGAAAGGAAGGTTTGCCTGATCCTTCAGACAAGGACACTCGAGGTCCTCGCCCGTGCCTCTCACAATCCCCTACATAGCCATTGTTCCCATACTTTCAGCTCAAAATCCTTATGTTCAGCTGGTTCAGGTTCGCGCCTTCGTAGCTCTCAGATTAAAAATTGAGCTGTACCGGTTTTGAACACTTTGTATTGCTTGTTTCCCCCTGCACCTGCGGAACCATGACCCGCGCCGTGCCTCGCGGCATTCTGTCGTTCGCCATCCCGTTACTCCTGCTCGCAGTCGTTGCGTCCGCGCAGCAGATCTGTCCGTTCACAGGCAAGCCGCCAACGAAGCCCGCGAAGCCGCTGTACCGATGCGTGGCTGAGAGCGAGCTCGCGTGCTGCTCCGCGTGCGACGACTGGGTCACCGCGGCGACGGTGCTCGGACAGAACGGAACGAGAATCCTGTCCACGCTCTTCTCTCCAGGCACCACATTTGAAGCGCTGGACAAGTTCAAGGCCACGCCGGTAAGCTTGAACCAGCGTGCGCCTTTTTCCTATTTCATTAAATTTCGCAAATATTATATATTAAATTAATATATCGAGAACATTTGAAGTTCTGGACAAATTTAAGGCCACGCCAGTAAGCTTGAATCATCGTGTTCGTCTTTTGATCCTTTTGTACCAGCGTTACATTGCCCAGCTTTCTGGCCACTCAATGGCGTCTTGCTATGATGGTTCCGAGCCAATTTAAAAGGAGCATTACAATGAATTTGGTACCCTTTTTTTTAATGTAAATAAAGGATCGGTTTTGTAGGCGGTTTTGTAAAATTTTCAAAATCCGCGTTAACGCGTTTCATCCTATACCTGGTTCATCGCATGCATCATCCTCCTCTCCCCCCTCCCTCCCCGCCCCCAACCCACAACCCCCCCCCCCCATCCCCGCCTCTTCTTCCCCTTCCCCCCCTCCCCCAACCCCCTCCCCCAACCCCCCTCCCCTTCCCCCCCCCTCCTCCCCCCCTCCCCCTCCCCCCTCCACCCGAGTTCAAAGGGCTTTACTGCGCGATACTGTTTGACGGCACGTGGAAGTACCAACTTCTCAGAATCACCCCCCTCTCTCTCCCCCCTACCCTCACCTCGTTCTTCGCCTCTTCCAGTTTTGCGGGTTCCTCGCAGGCGGGAGCGACACGTGTCTGCAGCTGATTGAGGGACTCTACTATGCCATCACGTGCGATGCAGGCGCGAGCAAGTACCTCCCGATCGACCTCTCAGAAAAAAAACCCTTCTCTGCGCCCTTCCCCCGCGCCCTTCCCCCCACCAGTTCTGCGGATTCTTGGCGGGCGGAAGCGACACGTGTCTGCAGCTGATTGAGGGGCTCTACTGCGCCATCATGTGCGACCCGGGCGCGAGCAAGTACCTCTCGTTCGAGCTCGCGCCGTCGGGGAAGCTCGCGGACAGCAACGGCACGATCCGCATCTGCAACGACTTCTCGAACCGCGTGTACGACGCGTGCCAGTCGCTCGCGTTCCCCGGCGTCGCGCTCACCATCGCCAGCTTGATTAAAAACCCCGCGGTATGTGTATTTGTGCCGCCTAAAAAGTCGTCTCTTTACCAGCCGCTCACCATCGCGAGCTTGCTTAAGAACCCTTCGGTACGTGCTGCAGCTACCAATTGTAGTTTCACCCGAACCGAACCAACTTTCCCCACAAATGTAACTGCGAATTCGTTGTCCAGCTATCCGATTTCTCCTTTCTGGCTGCGATACGCGGTTCCGTTACCCGTCTATGTCCTCCCAACGATCACTCTAGAGAGTCATGGACCCCTCTTACTGGCGCTACATCCCCTTCACATTCCCCAACACCCCCCCTCCTCCCCCCACTCCCCCCAACTACCCTTCCTCCCCCCTTCCCCATTTCCCCTGCCCGCCTCCTCCTTTCCCCTCCCTCAGCCTCTGTTGTTCTGACCATTTCTCTCCCTTCAAGCCTACACTCTGTGCCTTCTTCTGCCGTCACTTCATTTTCCATCACATTTCCTAACACCTCCTTCTCACTAATGATTTTCTGACCATTTGCTTTCGCCCTCCGTTGCCGCTTCCTCTTCCCCTCCGCTGTCCAATTTTGTACCCACATAATTTTATTCTCTCTCCCTTCAAGCCTACACTCTGTGCCTTCTTCTGCCGTCACTTCATTTTCCATCACATTTCCTAACACCTCCTTCTCACTAATGATTTTCTGACCATTTGCTTTCGCCCTCCGTTGCCGCTTCCTCTTCCCCTCCGCTGTCCAATTTTGTACCCACATAATTTTATTCTCTGCAAACCCCCACGCATTTCTCAGCACCTCTCAACTATAACTATCTCTCTTTTCCCCTTACCCCAGCCACTCCTCCACCTCCATCTCCCCTTTATCCCCTTCCCTCTCCCTGAAATAAATCGTACGCACTCTGTCTTCCCAAAGATCCCTGTCACTCATTGTGACCCCGCTTGCTGGTACTTTATCAATTACAGAACATGTCCTGCCACACATTCGCCAACACCTTCCAATCATGTTTTTCTTACCATTCCCTTCCCCCCTCCCCTTGTACTCCTCCCCGTCCCCTCAAACCCTCACCCCTTCCCCCCCCACCCTCTCCCCTTCCCTCACTCTTCAAAATCCTGCACATGCTGTCCTCCCAGAAATTTATGTCACTGGTTGTCACTCCGCTTGCTGGTGCGGCAACACCCCTTGCATACGTTCAAATCCCCCGTCCTGTAGCTTTCTGACCCATTCCCATTTCCTTTCCCCCTGCCTCCCCCTCCCTCCCCCATTCCCTTCCCCCCGCCTCCCCCCTCTCTGCCTGCGAATCCTTGCACATTCTTTTCAGAAATTTCTGTCACTCGTCGTGACTCCGCTTGCCGGCACCGCAACCCCCCTAAACACCCTCAACACCGAGCTAGTTCCCGCCGAAAACGGAACGGACAGTTGCTTCCTGACAGCGCCAGGGGATAAATACGCGCAAACCCCCCTCTGCTGCGATAAACTAACGGGTTTCCCCATGGAGTGCCCGAAAAACCCGAAATTCTCTAACGTGTCAGAAGTGCTTCCGTGGGTGGTGGACCGGGCTGTGCCTGCCACGTGTGCTGCGACTTCAAACAATCCTGGAAATTTTGTGCCTGAGCCAATACCCTCTGTTCCGGCGCCCAACGGGACCAATGCCAATGGTTCGGCAACCAATGGTTCGGCAACCAATGGTTCGACGCCCAGTGGTTCGGCAGCACCCACTGGTTCAACTCCCACTGGTTCAACTCCCACTGGTTCAACTCCCACTGGTTCAACTCCCACTGATTCAACATCAAACACTACAGGCTCTGGGGAAAACAGCGCGGGGTTGAGTTTGGTGCTTAGGGGTGGAGCGTGGTGGGGATGGTGGCCTGCTGCGCTTGCTGCGGTGGCGCTCCATGTGGTTTTGTTCCATTGATTTTTGGAGTCGATTTCTGGCAGGTTGCTACTCGAGCTTGAATTGGGTTGGGTTGGATTAGACACTTGCCTGAAGCATGGAACGATTTGCTAGGGTTTGACTGTAGAGTCAATTTGAATTGGAACATCAGTTGCAGTGTTTTCTTATAAGGATATCAACTGTGGGTTGATGAAGCCTCGAAAGTGCTCTCTCGAAAGTGTAGCCTCCACAGCGTAGCCTCGAGAGTGCATGACGCTAAGGTAAGGACGCGTCAACTCCCGCTGAATTAGGCGATCGATCGTGCATTTTCAATCAGACACCGCACTGGAAACCTGCTACTGGAGTTCAAAACTTTCCAGACCATTTTAAAAGCCATCAAAATTCGATCCTGCGCAGGATCGATCGTGCCAATCTGATGGGAGTTGACGCGTCCTATTTGTGTAGGCCCTCAGAGTGTAGCTCGAAAGGTGTAGCCCCTGAGAGTGATGTAGCCCCAAGAGTGTAGCCCCAAGAGTGTAGCCCCAAGAGTGTAGCCCCAAGAGTGTAGCCCCAAGATTGTAGCCCCAAGAGTGTAGCCCAGCGTTAGACTAGTATAGTGTCTGGAAAAGACGAGGACCCATTGTTGGATGCAGGCTGAATCTCCAAGATGCTTGTTATCACATTGTACAGCTGCATGGGGCAGTAAGATGGGTAGAGAGAGATGAAGGAAAGAGAAATAAAGAATCCATTGTTGGGTGCAGGCTCAATCTCCAAGATGCTTCTAATCACATTGTACAGCTGGACGGGGCGGTAGGATGCATAGAGAGAAATGCACGATGGCGAGATACCAAGGGTAGAGAGCGATGAAGGAAAATGAAGGGTCCATTGTTGGGTGCGGGGCAGGCTCATCGCTTAGAATGCTTGTTATCACATTCGAGTCGACCTCTTGAGTCGACTAAAAAGAGAGCGATGAAGGAAAATAAAGGGTCCATTGTTGGGTGCGGGGCAGGCTCATCGCTTAGAATGCTTGTTATCACATTCGAGTCGACCTCTTGAGTCGACTAAAACGAGAGCGATGAAGGAAAATAAAGGGTCCATTATTGGGTGCGGGGCAGGCTCAATGTTTAAGATGCTTGTTATCACGCTGTACAGCTGCAGGGATGCAGGCGATGGATATGGGGAGGAGATGATGGTAGAGAGGATGAAGGGTTGAGAGGATGAAGGGTTGAGAGGATGAAGGGTTGAGAGGATGAAGGGTTGAGAGGATGAAGGGTTGAGAGGATGAAGGGTAGAGAGGATGAAGGGTTGAGAGGATGAAGGGTTGAGAGGATGAAGGGTTGAGAGGATGAAGGGTTGAGAGGATGAAGGGTTGAGAGGATGAAGGGTTGAGAGGATGAAGGGTTGAGAGGATGAAGGGTTGAGAGGATGAAGGGTTGAGAGGATGAAGGGTAGCGAGGATGAAGGGTTGAGAGGATGAAGGGTTGAGAGGATGAAGGGTTGAGAGGATGAAGGGTTTAGAGGATGAAGGGTAGAGAGGATGAAGGGTAGAGAGGATGAAGGGTTGAGAGGATGAAGGGTTGAGAGGATGAAGGGTAGAGAGAGATGAAGGTTGGGGAAAATGAAGACTCATATTCATCGTTGAACAATCACCGAAGATTCGTCCACGCATGTGTGCATCCTCCTGAAGATTGAACCCACGTTTCAACATTCTCTGGCAACTCATAGTCACCTATAGATTTTCCAATCACCTAAAAGATTTAACCTGTTGTTGCGCTGTCTAGCCACCCTAAGAACATTCTCTGAAATCTCACCTCTGTGTTCCTGAAGGTGGGTATTCTGCGGTGGGAGGCGAAGCGCGGCCCTCGGGCCATGAAGATGGAGCGCATGGAGGGAAGGCGGTTGTCGTAGCCGTGCATGCCCCCATCCCATGCTGACGAGTGGTGGTATACCACCGAGTAGCCCTCATCTGCCAGCGCCAAGATAGCCTGGCAAAAGCGGAAATGGTTAAGGGTGAGAGGCGTTGTAGAGAGATTAGGAGGAGCTTGGGTAGATACAACATGCAGCTCGGACAAAAGATGTGACTTATCACACACAATAAGAAGATGGTTCGATACGTTACGCAGATTGTCACTCTGACCAGACAACGAGCTGTGAAGAATCGTTAAGGAGTCATGCAAGATCAACACGAATCAATGCTCCCCCCCTCCATCGCCTTCCTGATCGCCCCCACCTCCACCACCACCACCTTTTGAGACGCCCTAGAACTTACTGGTATTCTGTCGCTTCCCGAAAACTCAAACTCCGCAGGAAACTCCTCCCTCAAATACACCTTCAGCGCCTCTCCATTCACAATGCCCCCCCCTTCAATCGCCCTCCTCATAGCCCCCACGACTGCTGCCGCATCCATCCGAAAGTCCTGGCCGGCAGACCCCGGGCGGCGTTGCGCGTCTGTTTGCGGGAGGAAGATGCCGAGAAGCGGGTAGCTGAAGTCGATCCAAGCGGGGGAGAGGCCGGGGATGAACGGCTCGAACTGCTCCAGGGAGATGACTCGCGATTTGCATGTGGCCAGCATGCCATGGTCGCTCACTAGCAGCAGATTCACATCGTTGGTCATGCTCCTATAAGGAAGTTGAGGGGGAGGGAATAAATTTGGGAAACGGGAAAGGATGTTGGGAGGGGGGCTTCAGAGGCAGGTGGAAGGGACGGAAGCTGCTGGCACATGCTTCTCAAAGGGGCTGAGAGACGGGAGAGGCCCGGGATGAACGGCTCGAATTGCTCCAGAGAGATGACGCGCGACTTGCATGTGGCCAGCATGCCATGGTCGCTCACTGGCAGCACATTCACGTCGTTGGTTATGCTCTTACAAGGAAGTTCATGGACGGAAAAGAGGGGGTGGGGTGGGGTGGGGGGGGGGGTTGGACGGGAGGGAGTGGATGGAGGGGAGTTGACAGGGATGGGGGTCCATCAATGCGCTTCACAGCAGCAGCAACCAGAGGCGTGTCCGGGCCTCCCTTGAACCCGCCCATTCGTCTCTCCCACTCTCGTCTGCTCTCTCCCCACTACCACCACCACCAGCTCCCACCTTACCTTCCCGCTGCCTCACCGCACCTGCCATCCATCCAGCCCAGTCAAAAGTCGCCCCAGCATGTCATCAATGCGCTTCACAGCAGCAGCAACCGGAGGCGTGTCCGGGCCTCCCTTGCACCCGCCCATTCGTCTCTCCCACTCTCGTCTGCTCTCTCACCACCACCAGCCCCGACCTTACCATCCCGCTTTTGAGAATTCTCAGAAGCTCTGACCTTACCTCCCCGCTGCCTCACCGCGCCTGCCATCCATCCAGCCCAGTCAAAAGTCGCCCCAGCATGTCATCAATGCTCTTCACAGCAGCAGCGACCAGGGACGTGTCCGAGCCTCCCAGGTGCGCAGCCTCCTATCGCCCCACTCTATTCCGTATACCCCACCCACTCACCTCCGATCCAAGGTGACTTTTGAGTCAACTCAAAACGAGGTGACTTTTGAGTCGACTCAAAAGTGACCAGGGGCGTGTCCGAGCCTCCCAGGTGCCCACCCTCCTATCGCCCCACTCTATTCCGTATACCCCACCCACTCACCTCTCATCCAGCCCCGTTAACAGGCGCGCCAGCATGCCATCAGCGCGCTTTACTGCCTCAGCAACCAGCGGCGTGTCCGTGCCTCCCAGGTAGTCACTTTCATCACCCATCTCACCCGCTTACCTACCTCTGGTCCAGCCCTGTCAAGAGGCGCGCCAGCATGCCATCAACGCGCTTTACTGCCTCAGCAACCAGCGGCGTGTCCCGGGCATCCCTTGTGGCCCTCCCATCTGTCACTCTCGCCCTCTCCCCACTCCCACCCACTCACCTTTGATCAAGCCCTGTCAAGAGGCGCCCTAGCATGCCATCGACCCGCTTCACAGCAGCAGCAACCAGCGGCGAGTCCGGGCCTCCCAGGTAGTCACTCCCATCGGCCATCTCACCCGCTCACCTCTGATCAAGCCCTGTCAAGAGGCGCCCTAGCATGCCATCGACCCGCTTCACAGCAGCAGCAACCAGAGGCGTGTCCGGGCCTCCCAGGTGCCCACTCTCGTCTGGCTCCTCCAAGTAGAGTGAGAGGAAGGAGGGGCGGAGGGGCGCAGGCAGGTCCAGCCATGCCAGCACCTGGTCCACTCGCTGTGTGAGGGGGAGGGAGAGGGGGGGGGAGTGGGGGTGAGGGGGCCAGGAGGAGACGTGAGTGGACGAAAGGACCTCTCTTGTGGCCACTTTCATCGGGCTTGTCTAGGTAGAGCGATTTTTGAGTCGACTAAAAAATCGCCTCATCACTTTCATCATCTCATCACTTTCATCGTCCCATCACTTTCATCGCCTCGTCGCTTTCATCGGGCTCGTCGAGGTAGAGCGATGATGACGCGAGGGAGGGGGGACAGAGGGAAGAGGGAAGGTCCGGCCACAGCAATCCCTGGTCTACTTGCTGTGTGGGGAGGTCCGGCCACAGCAATCCCTGGTCTACTTGCTGTGCGGGGAGGTGCCAGCAGGTTAGCTTACCAGCAGGAATTAGTCAGATCAGACACGCATGGTGGTCGTTTTTGAGGCGCCTCAAAAACGACCTCAATTCTGTGCGGGGAGGTGCCAGAAAGTCAGCTAACCAGCAGGCAATAGTCAGACACGCATGGTCAGACACGCATGGTCAGACATGCACCCTTCCCTCCCCCCCATCTCTCCATCTTCCCCCTCTTGGTCCCCCCCTCCTCACGCCTTCCACCCCCACCAACCTGTTCAAATGGCATCGACTCGTTGTATTGCAGGCAGTAGTCTGACGGGCACGGCCAATCAGGTCGCGACACGTCAGAACCCGGCCAAAACACTGTTGCCGCCTGCAAGCCCTGCAAAAGTAACAACCAGAAAAGCAGAAAGCGAAAGGCCGACAGGGGAGAGGGGAAGAAGGGGGGATGGGCGAAGGGGAAAGGGGGAAAAAGGGGAAAAAGGGAAGGGGAGACGGGTGAAAGGGGGGAAGGGGAGAAGGGGCATTGGGGAAGGGAGGAAGGAGAGAAGGAGGCAATGTGGAATGGGGGAAGAGGGGAGGGGAGGAAAAGTGAGAGGAAGGAGGGAAGGCTGGAAAGGGGGAAGGCGTGAACAAGTGAGAGTAGTCTAAAAAAATCGTCTTAATGCTCTCCGGCTAGAACAAGTGGCTGTGGGACCAGTTGACATCGCACCTGGTCCGAACCCCCTTCAACCCCCTCACCTGCCGGTTCACTGTGGCCCAGATGGGTTCGCCCAGCCATCAAATGGAGAGAACACGATGGCCCACGCCCCTTACATCTCCCTCTCCTGTTGCTCCCTTCTTCAACGCCCTTCCCCTTCCCCTCACCTGCCGGTTCACTGTGGCCCAGATGGGTTCGCCCAGCCATCAAATGGAGAGAAACAGGTGCAGTGGCTGGCAGGAAGGGGGAAGGAGTTGGCAACTATGACTACTTTTGAGGCGTCTCAAAATCCCTTCCCCTCACCTGCCGGTTCACAGTGGTCCAGATGGGTTCGCCCAGCCACCATCTCGGGTCGACATTCCCAGGCGAGAACACGTCGCTGTGGTTGGAGGGGAGGCGGAACTTTGTTTGCCAGAATACCCCACACCCCTTGCCTTTCCCTCTCCTGTTTCATCCCTCTTCAACGCCCTTCCCCTTCCCCTTACCTGCCGGTTCACGGTGGTCCAGATGGGTTCGCCCAGCCACCATCTGGGTTCAACATTCCCAGGCGAGAACACGTCGCTGTGGTTGGAGGGGTTGTGGAGCTTGTTGGTGTTGATTCCCCACACCCCTGACCTTTCCCCCTGCCCTCCCCACCCCCTCACCTGCCGGTTCACAGTGGTCCAGATGGGTTCGCCCAGCCACCATCTGGGGTCGACATTCCCTGGTGAGAACACGTCGCTGTGGTTGGAGGGGAGGCGGAACTTGTTGGCGATGATGCCATGCGATGCAGGGAGGAGGCCCGTTGCCATGGAGTGGTGCGAGGGGAAGGTGAGCGAGGGAAAGACGGGCAGCATGCCATGCTCTGCGAATGTACCTTCTGCCAGCATCCTGAGGGACAGTGCAAATGGGGGAGGGTGGAGAAAGGGGTTGGGGAGCAGGCCCGTGGCCATGGAGTGGTGCGAGGGGAAGGCTACGGAGGGGAAAACGGGTGGCATGATAGCGACCCGTGCTCTGCGAATGTTCCTTCAGCTAGCATCCTGATGTGCAGGTGGTATAGAGCAGAGTACCATCTTAAAGCCGACCAAGTGCGGGCTGGCCACCCATGCATGTGTTTCCTTCCACTAACTCCCCATGCGTAGGCGGATGGGTTGTGTCCGCTTTAAGATGGTACCCATGTCGCAACCCATCAGAGGACACGAGGATCTCTGTAGGCTGCCCTCCCAGACTTGTCCTCCCATGCGTGCCCTTTCACACCCCCCCCCAACCTATTCAGATGAGGAGTGTAGGCTTTAAGATGGTATCCGTGTCTGAACCCATCAGAGGGCACGAGGATCACTGTGGGCTGCCCTCCCAGACTTGTCCTCCCATGCGTGCCCTGACATGCCTGCCCGCCATGCTTGCCCTTCCACACACACCAGCCAACCTGTTCAAATTCGGTGCGTTGGCTTTGAGGTCGTACCCATGTCGAACCCGTCACCGTGGGATGCCCTCCCAGCACGCCTGTGCTTCCATTCCATGCATGCCCTCCCAGCGCGCCTGTGCTTCCATTCCATGCATGCCCTCCCAGCGCGCCTGTGCTTCCATTCCATGCATGCCCTCCCAGCGCGCCTGTGCTTCCATTCCATGCATGCCCTCCCAGCGCGCCTGTGCTTCCATTCCATGCATGCCCTCCCAGCGCGCCTGTGCTTCCATTCCATGCATGCCCTCCCAGCGCGCCTGTGCTTCCATTCCATGCATGCCCTCCCAGCGCGCCTGTGCTTCCATTCCATGCATGCCCTCCCAGCGCGCCTGTGCTTCCATTCCATGCATGCCCTCCCAGCGCGCCTGTGCTTCCATTCCATGCATGCCCTCCCAGCGCGCCTGTGCTTCCATTCCATGCATGCCCTCCCAGCGCGCCTGTGCTTCCATTCCATGCATGCCCTCCCAGCGCGCCTGTGCTTCCATTCCATGCATGCCCTCCCAGCGCGCCTGTGCTTCCATTCCATGCATGCCCTCCCAGCGCGCCTGTGCTTCCATTCCATGCATGCCCTCCCAAACCTGTCTCCCACACCTTCCGCCGACCTGTTCAAATTCGGTGTGTCCGCTTTCAGGTGGTAACCGTGCCTGGACCCATCATAGGACCCAAGGAGGATCACTGTGGGCTGCGCTCCCATGCCTCATCTTCCCACACTTTACCTTCCCACACCTTTCTCCTACCTGTTCAGATTCGGTGTGTCAGCCTTGAGGTGGTACCCGTGCCTGAACCCGTCAAACGACACGAGGATCACTGTGGGCTGCCCTCCCAGCGCGCACCTTCCCTGCCTGCCTGGCCAATCCTATGCCACACACCGTCTTCCTACCTGTTCAGGTGTGGACTGTCGGCTTTCAGGTGGTACCCGTGCCTGAACCCGTCAAAAGACACGAGGATCAACGTGGGCTGCCCTCCTAGCGCGCCTGGCCACCCATGCTTGCCCTTCCACACACCCACGCCTACCTGTTCAGACTTGGAGTGTCGGCTTTGAGGTGGTACCCATGTCTGAACCCGTCAAAGGACACGACAATCACCGTGGGCTGGCCCCCCATGGCTGCCCTCCCATGCGTGCCCTCCCATGCGTGCCCTCCCATGCGTGCTGCCCTCCCATGCGTGCCCTCCCATGCGTGCCCTCCCATGCGTGCCCTTCCTTGCGCACACGCCCACATACGACCTCCCATGCGTGCCCTCCCATGCCTGCCCTCCCATGCGTGCCCTCCCATGCGTGCCCTCCCATGCCTGCCCTCCCATGCCTGCCCTCCCATGCCTGCCCTCCCATGCCTGCCCTCCTACACTTACCACACTTCCCAGACGTGGCCCTGTACCTGTTCAGATTCGGAGAGCCAGCCTTGAGGTGGTACCCATGTCTGAACCCATCAAACGACACAAGGATCACCGTGGGCTGCCCTCCCATGTCTGCCCTCCCACACTTGCTACACTTCCCACACGTGCCCCCTTACCTATTCAAATTCGGTGTGTCAGCTTTCAGGTGGTACCCGTGTCTGAACCCGTCAAACGACACGAGGATCACCGTGGGCTGCCCGTCCAGCGCGCCTGTGGGGGAGGGCGGAGGGCCCCCGCCCCCGTCAAATGCGGAGGAGCAGGAGGCGTGCGAGTGGGACGTGAGGAAGATGGCGAGGGCGAACCCCAGGACCACTGGAGGGCGGGGTGGAGAGGGGTGGGATGGGATGGGATGGGATGGGATGGGATGGGATGGGATGGGATGGGATGGGATGGGATGGGATGGGGTGGGATGGGATGGGATGGGATGAGATGGGATGGGATGAGAGGAGTGGAACAGCGTGAGAGGCAAGGATTGGGGGGAGGGCTTTCCTCGTACGTCCAGCGCGGGGGAGCGGGAGCGGACAGGTATCAGACGCGGACTTGAGAAGAACGCGGCGGCCATGGCCATCGTGGCGAACGGCCAGGTCGGGCTTGCAGGCATGTGCTGTGCGCGAGGAAGTCCGCTCCCGGCATCATGGATTAGTGGTCGTTGCTAAAAGAGCAGGCAAATCAGGCTGGCAGGCTGGCAAGAAGCTGACCTGAGAAGAACGCGACGGCCATGACCATCGCAGCGAACGTCCCGAGCCGTCCCGAAAGGATCGAACGACGAGACTGTTTATGGCGGTGACCGACATACACGTCATCCTCCACGCTTTCCACGTCATCATCGCTGCCACTGCAGTCGCCATCGGCCTCCCGCTTCTCCTCGTTTGGAATTAAGCTGTGCTCCACTGGACTAGGAGACGGGCTGGATCCCGATAATCCCGCCGGCATTTGCGCTTTGCTTAGCATAGCTAGCTGCTCGGAACTTTTCGGTGTGGACATGATTTTTCTAATATATTGTACAATGAATATGTATGAAACAGATGCTGTGGAACGTATAATACCGAGTCAGCTGTTTTGTTTAGAAAATCGTAGTGGCGATGGTCACAGTGAGTTTTGAGGCGTCTCGAAACCGTTGTGACAGCTATAGTCTCAATGCCGTAATATTTTACAGCTACACGAGAGACAAGCTAGGTGAACCCTTCGAGACGTCTCGGAACCCGCAATAATATGCAGATTTACGGGAGGTGGAGATAACACTTCCAGTCTTGCCACACCATCAGACACAATTCAGCCTTGGCACGGATCCACCATGGACCCAGCGGAGGGGAAAGAGAGACCAAGAAACGAGGAGCCAAGTCAGCCGAGTTGTTGTAACCAATCAGGTCAAAGAGAATCTAAAGTCGCATCAAGGGGACGGTGTTACCTTGGTTTCGGACCTTGGGATCTCCAACAGAGGCGAACACCATAGACGAACTCAGCGAAGCACTCTCCAGGCTTCCATGACGAACTCCTGCCGTCTGTCACGAAAGCCGAGGCGAGCACGGACGAATCATTTCATAAAAGCGACGTCCAACGACTGCGTGCAAAGCAAAGTAACGCTTGGCATTCACTCGCAGGGCTAGCAGAGCCACAAAAGTCAACCTGAAGCTTTCCGATCCTTTCACGAAAAGCTTGTTTCGTCAGGGCGCTTTGTTTCGACGAAAAGCTTTCCGATCCTTTCACGAAATAAAGTACCCAGCTAACTCACTCGTTAACAAAAATTCTCGCCAAACATTCTTTCTCTTCCAACACTGCTCGTCTCTCGTCTCCCCCCAACAACGACTACACAACTGTTTCCTGGTGGTACAGTACTTCAACAAATCACATATGTATTTGCTCCACATCAGATACGTGTCCTGGCATCACTGCTTTCATACCGACACACTCACTATCGCGAATAGTCAATCCAGCGAGTAATCAGCAGATGATGCCGGCAGCTAAGAGCACTACCTATCGGCGATCGCGACTCGGCCAGCAGGCTTCTGACGTCAGCACCCAACCGATCGCCGAGGGCAGCAGCAAGAGCAAGAGCGCTGACGTCAGCACGAGCGCGAGAGCGAGGGACAGCGATGGCACCGCGGCGAAAGTGGCGGAGTACGAGCGATTTGTGGAGGAACGATTGAAAGTGGACTTACAGGCAGCGATGGAAGACAGGTGCGTGAGTGTGTGGGTATTATTGAGGCAGCTTGTAAAGGGGAACCGGTGGCGAAGGTAGCGGAGTACGAGCGGTTCGTGGAGGAGCGGTTGAAAGTGGATTTACAAGCAGCGATGGAAGATAGGTGCGTGTGTTATACTGAGACAGCTTGTAACGGGGATATGGGGGCGGAGGTGGCGGAGTACGAGCGGTTCGTGGAGGAGCGGCTGAAGGTCGATTTTCAGGCAGCGATGGAGGACAGGTGCGTGTGCGCGTGTTTGTATGCCATTGCTGCCGCTTATCGAAATGTATGACTGGGAAGGTAGGGAGGGAAAAAAAAGGGGGGGAGGAGCTGCTACGCAGCGAGGGAGCAAGTCGAATTTGACGAGCATCCTTGTATGACGCTGGAGGGAGCTTGCGTGCAACGAGGTCCTGATTTGCTCCTGTTCTGCCTATACGCTGCTTGGTCGACTCCTGGGAGTCTGATTCGCTGGTTGGCCCTCGCCAAGTTCAGATGCCACCCCGCGTCCTTGGATCAGAGTTCGCATGGGAGTTCACATCAGAACAAGACTAGGCTACTTTGTGGTGATTGTGATGAAGGAGACATGAATAGGCATCCGTGTGTGATTGTGATGAAGGAGACATGAATAGGCATCCTTGTGTGATTGTGATGAAGGAGACATGAATAGGCATCCGTGTGTGATTGTGATGAAGGAGACATGAATAGGCATCCGTGTGTGATTGTGATGAAGGAGACATGAATAGGCATCCGTGTGTGATTGTGATGAAGGAGACATGAATAGGCATCCGTGTGTGATTGTGATGAAGGAGACATGAATAGGCATCCGTGTGTGATTGTGATGAAGGAGACATGAATAGGCATCCGTGTGTGATTGTGATGAAGGAGACATGAATAGGCATCCGTGTGTGATTGTTGCGCTTCTATTCACGCTGAGACCTCATGGGCCATTCATGTCTCCTTCTATGCCGATTCTGGTGCCTTTGTGTGCTGTGACAATGCGTGTGGGTTTGTGAAGGCATGTGTGCTGTGACAATGCGTGTGGGTTTGTGAAGGCATGTGTGCTGTGACGTATGTGTGTGTGTGCGTGCATGTGTGCACGTGTGAGTGATCGTGTGCGTGTGAGAATGTGTGTGCGTGTTCGAGTGCTTGTACGTGTGTGTATATGTGTGTGTGTGTGTGTTTGTGTGTGTGTGTGTGCGTGCGCGCGTGCGTGCGGGCGTGCGTGCGTGCGTGTGTGTGTGTGTGTGTGTGTGTGTGTGTGTGAGTGTGCGTGTGCGTGCCCGTGCGAGAGTGCATGGCGGTATCCGCAGGCACAAGGTCCAAGAAGAAATCCAAGTCTTGTACGCTCTTTCTTCCCCTCAAATCCTCTCGCCTCTCCTTGGAGTTGCAGGGTGTTTCTGAGAATTCTCAAAAACACCCTGCAAGTACACCTGTTTACTAATAACAGCACCTGCAAGTACAATGCAAGTACAATGCAAGTACAATGCAAGTACAATGCAAGTACAATGCAAATACAATGCAAGTACAATGCAAGTCTAGTGCGCTCTCGCTTCCCCTCCCCTCCCCCTTCTCCCCCACCCTCTCTCCTGCCCCCCCCTTTTCCACCGATCCCTGCCTTGCCAGTTTTTTCCCTTTTTAGGGTTGCGTTGTCTACTGCATATACATCATAGCATGGCAAATTGTATATTCTAGACTGCCTCAAGCCCGATTCTTGCATTTTTTCGCACGTATTGCATTCCCATATATTGTCCCATCATACTCGATTCGCTTCGCTCTCAGTACTTCCTTCATTCATCCTCAATGTGTGCTATCCATGTCACACACAATACATGATCCATTCAGCATGAGTCATCATACATGATGTTTTATCCTCGTTACAGTGAGGAGCTGGTGCGCAATATCGAGGCGCTGGAGGAGAATGGAGTGGAGGAGATGAGGGCGATGGTCAACCTGGGGGGAGAGGTGTTCGTGCAGGCAGACGTGTGAGTGGGTGGGTGTGGGGATGAGAGGTGCGCAGATGGGTTGGGAGAGGTGTAGCGCTAGTTCCAGGAGTGGAGGAGATGAGGGAGATGGTCAACTGGGGGGGAGCGGTGTTTGTGCAGGCAGACGTGTGAGTGGATGGGTGTGTGGCTGTGTGAGGGAGGGGAATTGGGGGGACGTGTGCTGATGGTTGAGGAGGGGGAGAGAAATTCATTACTGTGCTGGGGGACATGCATTTGTGTCAGTGAGGCTGGGGTTTCATGTAGAGTTCACTGGCTTGACTCTGAAGATGCTGTTGACCCTGTTGACCCTGTTGACGACTCCCAGATACGATCACAGATTTGTCTCAGTGCGCCTGGGCTTCCACGTGGTGTTTTACCGACTTAACTCCAGAGATGCTGTGACTCTGTTGACCCTGTTGACCTGTTGACTCCCGTTGACTCGCATCGACCACAGGCCAGACACGTCGCACATGTTCACCTCAGTGGCGCTGGGCTTCCCAAGTAGATTACACCCGGTTTATCCTTGACTTTATTGACTCCCATTGACCACAGGCCAGACACGTCGTACATATTTGTCTCACTGGGGCTGGGCTTCCACGTGGAATTCACCCGCCTTGACTCTCTTGACTCTGAAGATGCTGTTGACGCTGTTCACCTTGGTGACTCCCGTTGACTCCCATTGACCACAGCCCGGACACGTCGCACATATTCGTGGCAGTGGGGCTGGGCTTCCACGTGGAGTTCACCCGCCTTGACTCTGAGGGCTCTGTTATCATGTTGACCCTGTTGACTCCCGTTGACCACAGGCCTGACACGTCACACATATTCGTGGCAGTAGGGCTGGGGTTCCACGTGGAATTCAATCAGTTTCACTCAGGGAAGATGTCATTTTCCTAAACCCTATTGACTCCTGGCCAGACACATCACACATATTCGTGTCCGTGGGGCTGGGCTTCCACGTGGAGTTCACCCGTCTTGACTCCGAAGATTCTGTTGACTCTGTTGACCCTGTCAACTCCCGTTGACTCCCATTGACCACAGGCCGGACACGTCACACATATTCGTGGCAGTGGGGCTGGGCTTCCACGTGGAGTTCACCCGCCTTGAAGCCAAGGAGTTTGCCGCCTCCAAGATCGGGCACTTGAGAAAGTGAGTGGCGGTGATGGTGCTTCACGTGTAGTGAGGTGCGTTTTAAGGCGCCTCAAAATGCACCCGCCTTGAAGCCAAGGAGTTTGCCGCCTCCAAGGTCGAGCATTTGAGAAAGTGAGTGGCGGTGATGGTGCTTCACGCAGCAACGGGACGTGATGTATGTATTATGACAAGCGTGTGATTTTATTGTTGAATTCTGCCCAGTTTTTTTTACCCTTCTTAACATCCCTCTTTTCATGTATAGTAAATTTTATTCTTTCCTCTATTCTTCTCCATACCTCCCCGCCCCCACTCCCCACCCCCCATCCTGCTCCCACTTCATGCTTCAGCCCCCAAACCCCATTGCTTATAGTGGAAAGAACTAGTAACCCCCTGCCATCCCCCTCCCCACTTACTCAGTTCCCCTCCCCACTTACTCAGTTCCCCTCCCCACTTACTCAGTTCCCCTCCCCACTTACTCAGTTCCCCTCCCCATACCCGTTCCTCCCTTGACGAGTCAAAGATCCCCAATTTTGCATGGTGACTATGTGCATGGTGACTATGTGCATGCAGGCAAGTTGCACGGCACACAGAGAGAATATCATCCATTAAAGCCCACATTAAGCTGGTGAGCATTGGGTTGGGCGGGGCTGCTTACGGTACTCAAACTGGGTTGGGTGGTGTGGTGACTGTTGGGTCGATTAAAAAACGCAGGGTGCATGGTATCATCCATTAAAGCCCACATCAAGCTGGTGAGCATTGGGCTGGGCTGGGCTGCTTTATGGTACTCAAACTGGGGTGTTTGGGTGATGTGAATGTTGGGTCGTTAAAAAAAGAACAGGGTGCATGGTACACGGAAAGAATATCATCCATTAAAGCCCACATCAAGCTGGTGAGGAATGACTAGGCTTGGCGGGGCTGCTTTATGGGACTCAAACTAGGGTGGTTGGGTGGTGTGACTGTTGGGTCGATTAAAAAAGGCGGGGTGCGTGACACAGAAAGAATATCATCCATTAAAGCCCACATTAAGCTGGTGATCACAGGGTGGCTGCTGATGAACAGACTTGAGGTCCCGGGGTGTCCTCCCTTGGGTGAGGCCCTGCTTCGTTCAAGTCTTGATGTGCGTGTTGAGATGAGGCCCCTTCGGTCCTCGCGTTTTCTTGTGATTCGTCTCTTGGCGTTTCGTCTCTTATGGCATTTGATTTCAAGTCTTTCTGATGTTTCGCCTTTTTTTTCGCTCATGGCTGTGGGCAGGTGGTTGAAGGCGTTCGAGAGCTTCTCAACATTTCAGCTGAAGATTCATGAATTGTGACCACCAGACCAGATGATGTATGGTAGTAGTTCTTTGGTATTCTCAAGAATAGTCCACCAGAGGTGACTTCGAGACACATCAGAAGCTGCTCTGCTCACCATACGGTATCAGCTGACGACTCATCATGGCAATCAGCCATGTTGACTAGACAGGCAGCAGGCTGGGTTGAAAGAGTTCCGAGGCTTGGAGTGAAGTAAGGAGTTGTGCTGACTGAGAGATGCAGCTGGGATGTTGGTGCATGGGTAGTGGGTGAATGGGGTGTAATGGTGAATGGGTTGTAATGGTGAATGGGTTGTAATGGGGTGGTGGATGGATGTTCGAATGCAGCTTGCACTAGATTCTGCTGTACATAAAATGCATCGGCGCGATAGCAACAAGGGATAGTTAACTGCACCTCCTAAGGGGCAACTCACCACAGGCTGAACTAAGAAATATGATATTGAGAAACATGATAGAAGTGTGATGTTTTCATGATGGAGAACAGCATCATTTAGTAAATCAAGATGGCTAGGGGCAATAGCAAAAGAATCAGAACAAAATCCAGGGGGCGTATGGTAGTATTGTCCAGTATTAGTGTTCAAATAATTTGGACTCACCATCATGCACACAACACAACGAATTTGGAAGCTGAGTTGCAACAAGCGTACGGTAGTCCAAATACATTGATACGAAAGAAGAGCTGAGGACCTGGGTTGCTGTTTCTAAGCACGGACATACAGAAGCTTCGAATAGGGATAAGAATTTGGTGGACGAAAAGCACGCTGCTGTGCCTCCTCTTTGAGGTGACAAAAGGTGAAAGAGCATCAAATGGACACTGCGGTGCCAGACATTTCGGGTCCTGTCAGTAACAATATAGAAATATGATGCGGGGTCCTGGGAGGATACGGACGAGGATAGATTCTCCAGCCGTCATGGTCTTCGCACTAATAGTTCATTTGAGCCATACGCATTGGTAAGTGCATGCTTATGCGCGAGCCATAGCCATTGCTTCTTGGCGAGGGGTATGAGCGAGAACCTGGCTACTAGTTTCAGTAACAGATGCTTACAAATGAAGGGCACCTATACACCAAAGCTAGAAACACGCTTAAGCGCCGGGGGTGAAGTTGGTGGCATAGCCCAGGCGTTGTTGACGGTGGGGTCAGCCAGGTGGTCGGACAGGTTCTCCAGGGGGCCCTTGCCGGTGACGATGGCCTGCACGAAGAAGCCGAACATCGACACCATGGCGAGGCGGCCGTTCTTGAGCTCCTTCACCTTGAGCTCAGCGAGGGCCTCGGGATCGTCAGCCAGACCCAGGGGGTCGAAGGCACCGCCGGGGTACAGGGGGTCCTCAACCTCTTGGAAGCCCTCAAGGCCACCCACGCGGTAGCTCTCGACGGCACCCATGAGGATGACCTGGGTGGCCCAGATGGCCAGGATGGACTGCGCGTGGATCAGGCTGGGGTTGCCGAGGTAGTCAAGGCCACCCTCGGAGAAGATCTGAGCACCGGCCTTGAACCACACAGCCTCGCCGAACTCGACGCCGTTGTTGGCGAGGAGCTCGGGGGTCAGGCAGCCGAGGGCACCGAGAAGAGCCCAGCGAGCGTGGATCACCTGATGATAAAGCAACAAAGGAGCTCGAATCAGGTAAGGAACATATTTCGAAATGGGGCATAGAACGAAGATACAATTATTGCATGCGTTTAAATCGCAACAAAGCAACGCACCTCGAGCTCGCGGTTCTTGGCGAAGGTCTCGGGGTCAGCGGACAGACCCGCGGTGTCCCAGCCGTAGTCACCGGGGTACTCGCCGGTCAGGTACGACGGGGGGGAGGAGAACGGGCCCAGGAACAGGTTGCGGTCGGGGCCGTAGAAGGCGCTGCTGGGAGCCGCCTTGGCGGTCTTCCTCATGGTCACACGGGCCTCGACATTGTTCACCTTGGCGGCGAGCTCAGCGCTCTGACCGACGAAGGTGGACGGGAGCACAGCGGCGTTGGCGAGAGCGGCCATTGTCGACTGTGTAAAAGTGTACAACTAAAAGTTGTGTAGGAACCTGGAATGTTTCTGTCGCTGACTTGGTGGTTGTGAGAAGACCATCACATTTGAAGATTTGCGAATTTGGAACGGACCAGGGGGATCACTGCCTGAGGTATGCGGTTGGATGCGGTGAGGTGGGGTGTTCAATGGGAGGAGGAAAGCAGGTGGATGAGGTTGGTGCTTGGCTAGGCGCTGAAAGGTTGGGGACTGCGTGTAGTCCCGAATCCTGATTGGCCGACAATCGCCAGAGGGAACCGCTGGTTGCTTCAGGGTTGGATGGCTTCGATCCGAATCACGAGCGCTATGCGTGCACGACGCGCCAGGCTCATCCTGTTGCCTGATCGCGCATCTGGATAATCAAATTCCACCAATGGCGGAGGTTGACGTGGTCCCATCCCAATAAGGTTGGGCAATGTACACCCTCATCTGGCTGAGAAATCAGGGGCTACCAATGGCTAATGTTGATTTGGTTTGGTCCCATCCCAACGAGGCTGAAGACATTGCCCTTCCTATTACATGCGCCGTTTATAATCGAGATAAACTCTGTCACATAATCCGAACACTTTCATTCGGGGAAATAAAGTACCGTATGTGGGATTCATAGTTGGTTATTAAGAGAAGCCATGCACTACTCCAAATGATTCATCACATCCCATCATGAAATTGAATGGTATCACCAATTGCCCTCCTCGTCGCCCCCACAACGGCCGCCGCATCCACCTCTTGAGACGTCACACCAAACTCACCGGTATTCTGTCGCTTCCCGGAAACTCAAACTCCGCAGGAAACTCCTCCCTCGGGTACACCTTCAGCGCCTCCCCATTCACAATGCCCCCGCCCTCTATCACAACACCATGGTTGTTGAGAGGCATGGCAACACCAGTGTCACTCAGTGACCTGCTGAATGAGTGAACAACTACTTCACTCAGTGATACAGTTGTTTCTTTCAAGAGCCCCATGATTACATCGATGGGTTTAGGAGGAGCTTATTGTCGTTGTCATGACGTGACTTGGGCAATGAGTGCCACGGTTTGTCTCTTGGACAGCCCCATGACTGCATCGATACCCCCCACCTGGAGAAACAGCACAGGGAATGATTGCCAGAAAGAGGAAAATACAGGGAAGAACATTGAAGCCGTACCAAAAAAGAGGAAGAAACGGGAAAGTGGGGTTGGGAGACAGACCCAACTTCAAAGCATAAAAACTAGGGGCCATTTTTAAATGCATTCCACATCCCTGCATCTCCTCTCATCACCTTCTTCATTCATGCGCCCATTCTTTCTTCGTGTAACTCGTCTTAGAATGGTTTTCCATTCCTCACCCGTTCACCTCTCCCCCCTCTCCTACCCCCTCCTTCCCCCTCCCCCCTCCCTGTTCCCCACTGCCTTCTGCCCCCTCTTCCTGTCATCAGCAGCACTAGAATGCTCCCATGGCCCATCATCGCACCCCCTCTCCCCTCCCTTCTCTCTCCCTCCCCCTCACCATCTTCTCCACCAGCGGCGCCAGCAGGGGACGCTCCACCACCATCCCTCTGGCATGAGCCGTCACTCTCAAGTGCTCGCCAGACTCACCATTGCACCTCTCACATCTCCTCCTCCCACCTCTTCCCACTCCCCTAACCTCTTCCCCATCACCCCCCTCACCATCTTCTCCACCAGCGGCGCCACCTGAAAATGCTCCACCACGTGCCCTCCGGGATGAGGTAAGAGTCACTGAAAAATGCTCCATCACACCTCTACTCTCCCGACCCTCCCCCGTCATCCCTTGAGCCTCTCTCCTCTATCCGCTCCCCCCTCACCCATCTCACCATCTTCTCCACCAGCAGCGCCACCAAGGGATGCTCCACCATGAGCCATCACATAGAAGTTTCAATGCAATGACCCATCATTTGCATCATAGTCCTCTCTCTCTCCCTTCCCCCAATCCCCCTCACCATCTTCCCCACCAGCGGCGCCACCAGGGGATGCTCCACCATGAGCCCTCCGCCATGAGGCATCACTCATTTCCCCACTCCACTTCTCCCTCTCCCCTCTCCCCTTTCCCCTCTTCCCTTCCCCCAATCCCCCTCACCATCTTCTCCACCAGCGGCGCCACCAGGGGATGCTCTACCATGAGCCCTCCAGCGCAGTAGAAAATGTCGCCCTCTGCCACCTGGTGGGCATGTGGCACGGTGCAGAAGGATGCAGGGTGGTACAGTGAGGTGTGAGGTGCAGTGAAGTGGTGCAGCGGCGTACAGTGCGGTGGAGGGGGGCGACATGGCATGGCATGTCAAGCAGGAATTATTTTTTCTCTTCTCTTCATCAGCAGCGCCACCCCGGCGCACTCAGAAACGCCTCCCTTTGACATGCGGGGTGATAGATCCAGAGCGGTGCAAAAAGGGTGCGTTGCAGAGCGGTCCAAAAGGGTGCACTGCAAAAGGGAAGCGTTGCAGAGGCACTGAGCGGTTCGGTGAGTTTGGGAAATCAGTGGGGAACTGTTGCATCTTTCTAATAGACCGCAGCAATGACATGTCCACTCACCACCTGGTCAAGCACAGAATCAGGAATGGGCTGGATGTGAACATCTGGCACCACCTCTGCAACGTCTACTCCAGTGCTGCCGTCTGCCTGCCACCCAACACCTCGCCAAACTCATCCCTTTCCTCACACAATCAACCCGGACCCCTCTCGCATGTGACACACACTCCCACTCAGTGAGTGGCACTCACCAGCTGGTCGATCACAGAGTCAGGAATGGCCCGAAAGTAAACCTCTGCAACATCCACTGCTGCTGCCTGCTTGCCCGAGTTCAGATTCGTTATGAGAACTGCCCCTACAGTGCGGGCAGGCGCGCAAGAGTAGCCTCGGATGAACTCCCGAGCCTCAGCTTCGGAGAGAGGCTTCTCCAGAATCCGATCCTCATGCACCACCACCTGTGCAACGAACAAGAAACAATCAACCATCAAGCATCAAGCATCAAGCATCAAGCATCAACCATCAAGTATCAACCATCAAGCATCAAGCATCAACCATCAAGCATCAAGCATCAACACAAGCTGCATTTGCAAAGGACCCAATATGCTCCAGAATCCGATCCTCGTGCACCACCACCTGTGCAACGAACAAGGACGTACATACATGCATCATCACAGACTAAAGCATCCCCACCCCACCAGGAACCATCAACTGTCAACCACCAGTTGCATTTGATAGGACCCGGGCTTCTCGAGAATCCAATCCGCATGCACCACCACCTGTGCAACGAACGAGAACGTAAAAGCATGATCACCATAAACCATCAACAACAACTCCATATACACCACCACCTGTAAAACGAACGAGGGCGCACATCGTCACACGTAAAGGCATGAGCTGACTGGGCCCCAAACCCGCACTGCTCCACTGTCCAATGTGACCCTTGTGCCTGTCGTCTCTGCTGCAGGGTTCAATGTCAGCTTTTGCAAGAAGATTTCGAGCGAGGATTTGAGGAAGACGAGAACAAGAAACATGTGTATGTGTTGCGACAGAGAAGTGCTTAATACTCTTCAATTCAACTCAACCACAAACGCATGCGCGCGCGCACACACACGCAGAGTCACTCGCTCTCACTCACTCTTGCACAAACTCTTTCACACTCACTTTCTCACACTCACTCTCGTCACTACACTCCACTATACCTGGTCAGCAGTTATTAGCAAAGTTGGCACATCCGCACTTTCCGCGAAGGTTCGTCCCTCAGCCTTTAGCTTGGTTAGCAGGGCGTCTGCCTGATGGGGAGAGACACGTGGCACAAGATTATTGGATGGCAATCATTCGCTTGCGCGCCTCAGCAAATTAAAAACATCCTGAAATGAGAAGGCTGTTGACGAATGTTCATGCAACATAAGGGTTTGAGAGCCCACGCTTTACAGCATACAATCAATCGTACAGATACAAGAGCACTACTGTAGAAGGTTATATCTCACCTTGGCGCGAGAGAGGAGGGAGACAAGCTCGTTGGGGTCTGCACTTCGAATGGCCTCCTCGTCTATCCCTGGCTTCTGCATGCAGTGGCGTGAGCACCATCGCAGAGCAGAAAGAACAGAGCAGCATGAGTGAGAAGAGAGGAACAGGGCATGAGAGCAAGGGCCACACGAGAACCCACCCTTTCCTCTTTCTCAGACCACCTCACCTCACCCCTTCCACCCCTTCATGCCCTCCCAGCCTCCTTCCCATTCCTCTCCTTCGGTTACATTGAGGGCCGAGAGTATATTTCAAAGAGGCAGAGCGTTGTGTTCTCACAATTTAGTGATCTGCTGGGATCGCTTAACCACTTCACCCGCCTTCTAACGATGGGCACAAATGCCCTGATACAATCACCATCCTATAAAGCACTGTGCAAGCGGCCATCGTTCTCCGTCTTTGAGCGAGACTTTCTGAAATTCTCAAAAGTAGGCTCCGCTCCGCCTCCTGCACGCGTTTTAGGCATCCTCGTTTCCGACCTTTAGTGTGATGTGATCAGACCACCCACCATGATCTCAAACGGCACGCCTATCTCCTGGAGCACCTGCTCCTGGCTCTGGTCCTCCTACTATACGCGTTTCAAGCATCCCCGTTTGCAACAGTTAGTGTGATGAAAGCACCCACCATGATCTCAAATGGCACGCCTATTTCCCGCAGCACCTGCTGCCGGCTTTGTGATGACGATCCCAGAATGATCTGCCACGACATGGAAGCACGGAGCGTGGAGGGGTGGTGGGGGGGGTGGGGGAGTGGAGAGCGGGTGAGAGCTTTTCCAAACCTTCCCGAAGCACCTGCTGCCGGCTTTGTGATGACGATCCCAGAATAATCTGCCACGACATGGAAGAACGGAGCGTGGAGGGGTAATAGAGGACCAGAAATACATTTGATTGATTCCCAGCATTCCTGCAGCACCTGCTGCCAGCTGTGTGACGACGATCCCAGGATGATCTGTAACCAGACAGATGGCGGGGCATGGAGGAGTGGTGGATGGAGCGAGGGAGAGCCTTTCAGTTTACTCAGGACCTTCCCCCAGCACCTGCTGCCGGCTGTGTGACGACGATCCCAGGATGATCTGTAACCAGACAGATGGCGGGGCATGGAGGAGTGGTGGATGGAGCGAGGGAGAGCCTTTCAGTTTACTCAGGACCTTCCCCCAGCACCTGCTGCCGGCTGTGTGACGACGATCCCAGGATGATCTGTAACCAGACAGATGGCGGGGCATGGAGGAGTGGTGGATGGAGCGAGGGAGAGCCTTTCAGTTTACTCAGGACCTTCCCCCAGCACCTGCTGCCGGCTGTGTGACGACGATCCCAGGATGATCTGTAACCAGACAGATGGCGGGGCATGGAGGAGTGGTGGATGGAGCGAGGGAGAGCCTTTCAGTTTACTCAGGACCTTCCCCCAGCACCTGCTGCCGGCTGTGTGACGACGATCCCAGGATGATCTGTAACCAGACAGATGGCGGGGCATGGAGTGATGTAGGTTACTAGCCTACATTGCTCTGTATTTCTGGTTATATATTCTAGATAGCCTCAGGCAGTTGACGGGTCAAGCATGAGGAGAATGCTGCACGGGAAAAGGAGACCCTGACGCGTCGTTAACTGATAGCAACGTAGATTGCTTCCTACCGACTCCTACTCATAGCGCGTTCTACCAGGCAGTTCTTCATGGTTTCTCTTTTGAGTCTACTCAAAAGTCAGTACCTACGGAACTCGCTTCCTTCCTAACAAGTCCTACTCAAAGCGCGTTCTATCTGGCAGTTCTTCATGGTTTCACTTTTGAGTCGACTCAAAAGTCAGTACCAACGGAGTTTGCTTCCTTCCTAACAAATCCTACTCAAAGCGCGTTCTACCTGGCAGTTCTTCATGGTTTCTCTCCACTCAAATGCAGGCGGCTCAACCTCGATCCCCGCGGCTCGCACGCGAATTCGTCTCGTGGCGCTATGAGCTTGAGAACAGTAGCGAGGATTAACGACGATTGTAGTTGAGAGTAAAGATGCTGAAGAGAGATCGAAGCTTCTGGGAGACGGAATGTGGCAGCGGAAGGTGCGACTGACAGGAAATATAGCTACGTTACGCTGGGATTGGGCGGGAAAATTGCGGGACAATGGCTGCCGGAACCTAGATAGTACCGCCATGGACCAAGTGATGGTGGCTTGTTAGAATTAGGAACTATCTGCTCTGCTTCTAATTTGATCAACCACGAGACAATTGCACAGATTTGGTTTCGCTAGAAACACTATTTTACCGCTCGTCTTTCAGCTCTGATGAAGGATTACACTGTAGTTCGACTGAAGCTGTAATGCTGCAACAGCTCATAGCAAGTATGAATTTCCCGCTCATTTTGTATAAGCACAATATTTACAGAAGATCACCCCACCTATCCCCCCAGAAACTGCCGCAGAGATCCTGGGGCCTCTCTGCATATGCAACCTCGATATGCTCCCGCTGGAAAGTACAAAACAATCGGGACCGTCCGATCCGTCACTCTCACCAGAGTTCTGTAGCCTCCATTCGCTGAGATCGGAATCCACTGCCGCCAGAATCCTAAATTCTCTGCCTTGAAGCCTGCGCAGGAGCATAGCTTGTGCTAGCTTATTGAGTTGTGCTTAGTCAGTAGCATAGCGGAACATCAATCGAGTCGGGGTGATTTTCCTTCTGAGCCAGCGACACACTCCATCTCGGCCTGGACATTACGCTGGTGCCGTACATTCTATCCTCGTTCCGCCAGACTCTTATTCGGATGAGGTATGAACGGACTCGAGAGGCTGTAATAGTCGATCCATCACCAGCTTTGTTCTAACCGTTGAAGTGCACTGTCGAAAATGAGATAGGATTGGACTTGAGACGTCCATGAGCACCCAAAGACCGGATTCAGTTTTGCAAAGGAGATAAGTACGGACTTGAGAGTAAATGGGAGTTTAGATTCGGCGTGAGGAGTATTTACGCATGGTCTACTTGAAAGCCTTACAGATGAAGCTTAGATACGATGAGAAGCCAGCAGCAACGGTAGCAGATTGATGCTGATAAGTTGATACATCAATGAGTGGAGGAGTTGGAACGCAGATTCTCATATTCCCTGCCCGCTCGTTGGTGCTCCAACTAGCACCAACTCGTTGGAGTTTCGTTACTAGCACATGCTTCACTGACATAATGCAATGTTACCTCATCAATGCACATGTTTTCCTTCCATACGACGCGCGCCTTATCGCAAATTCGTGCTGTTCTGACTCTCCTTGTGTCTCACTCTCCGCACAACCCTTCTTCGCGTCCTTGTTTCAGGTTCGCGTAGTGCCGTTCCAGCAATCGTGATCGCCTTTTCTCTGCACCGTTCGATCACCGTGTACTAACGAAGCGATCCGCTAGCAGCTACCTCCGATTTCACCAGATTCCAAAATCATCTCAGTCTCCGACAGTAGATTTTAGACGTTTCAAAGCCGGTTCCGCCTTGCCGTCGCTAACCAGATTCCGTCAGGCAGCCAGCCATGCGGCACGGCGCGCGGTCGTCGGGCACGTTCTCGGCGTCATGGAACTTGTGGATCATGGTCACCATCGCCGTCGTCCTCGTTTTCTTCGGCGCATGGGCCATCTTTTCCCCTTCTAACAGCGCAGTGAGTTCCCGTAGATACTGGAAAACGGATTATTCGATGTTCTCGGCGTCATGGAACGTGTGGATCATGGTCACCATCGCGGTCATCCTGGTCTTCTTCGGCGCGTGGGCCATCTTCTCCCCCACTAATAGCGCAGTGAGTTCCCGTAGACACTGTAGAACGGGTGATTTGATTGTTCTCGGCGTCATGGAACGAGTGGATCATGGTCACCATCGCCGTCCTCCTGGTCTTCTCCCCCCTAATAGCGCAGTGAGTTCCTCTATACTCCTGAAACCGGGTGATTCGAGTGCTCTCGGCGTCATGGAACGAGTGGATCATGGTCACCATCGTCGTCGCCCTGGTCTTGTTCGGCGCAGTGACTTCCTCTACACTCCTGAAACTGGATGATTTGATTGTTCTCTCGGCGTCATGGAACGAGTGGATCATGGTCACCATCGCCGTCCTCCTAGTCCTCTTCGGCGCGTGGGCCATCTTCTTCTCCCCCACTAATAGCGCAGTGAGTTTCTTCGGAAGCCAGAAGCCGGGTAGTTCGCTCGATTTTGCGGGAAGTTGGGTGCATCAAGCTTTAAGCCGACGAAAGACGGGGGATCTTACACTGTAAAGGTGCTGGAAGACGGGGGATTCATGAACTTTCAAATGTCATCAACGTGTGGAGTGATCCGTCATGATCGCTTGTCAGTTATATTTTTCCCTTTTCGATCTATTGTTGCTTCACCATGCACCATTGGCTGGTGCAGCGGCAGAGGAGGAGGTGGAGGACGAGATAGGCCATTTGGTCGCCGCAGCAAACAGCACTCTGTGATTCGTCCTTACCCTTCGTTTTATTCCCCTCGTCGCCTAACCACGGAGGCAGTGGCAACCGAGGAGGAAGTGGAGGACGTCACAAGGCAATGGGTTCCCACAGTCGAGAACTGCATGCTGTGATTTATCCCGCCCTGTTTGCTCTCCTCGTCGAACCCTCGCCAGGCCGTGGAGGCAGTGGCGGAGGAGGAGATGGAGGACGTGGTGGGCGAGTCTGTCCTTCTTCACGGTTGGCAGCGGCTTGCTGTGTTCCGACCCTGTATTCTGCTCTCCTCGCCGCCCCCCGCTTCCCCCCCCCCACCCCTTTCTCCCTTCCCGCTCACCTCAGGCCTTGGAGGCATTGGCGGAGGAGGAGGTGGAGGACGTGGTGGGCGGGTTGGAGCCGTCAGTAACCCAGTCAGCATGCTGTCTTGTGTTTCGTCCCTCCCTTTGTTCTGTTCTCCCTGTCGCCCCTTGTCACAGGCCGTGGAGGCATTGGCGGAGGAGGAGGTGGAGGACGTGGTGGGCGAGTCGGAGCAGCGGCTGGAAGCTGATGTGAAAGTCGCCGAGGCGATCCAGAGGGCGAAAAACCGAGCCAAGGCCAAGGTGAGATTCTTTAGACGTCTCATAAGTTCAGAGTCGGTTGCTGTCCCATGAGAGCCTTTGACGTCTCAAAGGAGGGCAGCCTCTCCCTTTGTACCAGCACCTGGACCTGGACCTGGACCAGTTCCCCTCGCTGAACCATTTCTTTCCCCTCCTACCCGCGCTCTTCATTCCGTCTCCCTCCCTCGTCAGGACGTGGCGCTGAAGGCAGAGACCAGGCCAGCAGCTAGCTGGCAGAGTAAATCCTCTAAACCGAGACCCACCTCTTTCCACCCTCTCAACATCCCTTCCTTGTCAGGATGTGGCTGTAGAGGCCGAGACGAGCAGCGGGCTGGCAGAAGAGACGGGCGCTGAAGGCGCAGGGGAGGAGGACGAACAGGGGGTTGAAGTGGCAGGAGGCGAGGAGGGCGGGAGTGAGGAAGGGGGAGGGGAGGAGGGAGGAGGTGAAGTTGGGGGAGGGAAGGAAGCGGGGAAGGGTGGGGAGGAGGAGGAGGGAGGCGGAGAAGAGGAGGAGGAAGGAGGTGGTGGAGGAGGCGGGAAGAAGGCGGCTGTGAGGGAGGAGGAAGGGGAGGCAGAAAGCGAGGAGGAAGGAGAGGAAGGAGGGAGTGTGGCGCAGAGGAGCAAGGGTGGAAAGGGAGAGGAGGCAGCAGGCGAGGAGGAAGAAGAAGTAGAAGAAGGGAGAGGCGGGGAAGGGAGTGCAGGGGAAGAAGGGAGGAGAGGAAGAGGAGGCTGAGACAGCAGGCGAGGAGGGAGGGGAGGGAGAAGGTGGTGCAGAGGAAGGGGGAGAGGACAAAGTTGGGAAGGCTGCTGGAAACTCCAAGGTGCGTCCTTAGAGGACTAGAGGAAGAAAGGCCGAGAGCTAAGAGATTCACCAATGATCCCAACCTCCCCATCTCTCAAATGGTCCTTTATTCGACTTCCTCCGCCTCTTCCTTATCCCAACCTTCCCTCTCTCTTATCGGAACCTCTTCCTCTTTTCTCTTGCCCAGTTTTTCGTGTAGTGAGTCGAGTTGAGTCGACTCAAAACTCGACTTCTCCTCCTCTTCCTTGTTCCAACCTTTCCCTCCCTCTTATCGGAACCTCTTCCTCTATTCTCCTGCCCAGTTCTTCTTTGCTGACCTGGCAGCGGTGGAGGCAGCGTGGGATTCAGAGGACGCAGCAGCAGCAGACCCCAACGTGCCAGCAGCAGACCTGCGCACAGAGAGCAGTAGTTCCGAGTTTCCCCCTTCTTCCTTTCTCTCCCTTTCCCTTATCCCAACCTCTCCTTCGCTGTCCCTGCTTCAGTTCTTCTCTGCTGACCTGGCAGCGGTGGAAGCAGCGTGGGACTCGGAGGACGCAGCAGCAGCAGATCCCAACGTGCCTGCAGCAGACCTGCGCACAGAGAGCACGAGCTCTGAGGCAGGCAGTGGGCTTGAGTCTCAGGCGAGAGAGTCGGAGGAGGAGGCGAGGCTGGACATTCGGGAAGCTGCCACGAAGAAGCAGGAGAGCAAGAAGACGGAGGTAGGTTCTGAAAGAGGCGCGTAGTGTACGATATTCAGTGTTTTAGGGTGCATTTAAGGGAGGCAGGCAGTGGGCTCCCATCAACAGGCGAGGGAGTCTGAGGAGGAAGCGAGTCTGGACATTCAAGAGGCTCTCACCATTAAGCAGGAGAGCAAGCAGACGGAGATAGGGGTTGTTTAGGATGGAGAGCGGTTGAGGTGGGCAGGAAACGGTAGATGCAGACTGGCAGGCGGAGGTTGAGGGATAGAACGTGCATACTGAGGTGAGGGAGTAAGCAGATGGAGTCGGGGGGAGGGAGTGTAAGCAGGAGGGGTTTTTCCTTCCCCTAATTTGTTTTCCCCTTTCTCCCCGCTCATCCCCCACCCACCCGTCGCCACGACGACTTTGGGGAGGTGGAGGGAGGAGCGGCGACCATTCATAGCAGCCCCGAGAGCCAAAGAGCCGCCGCTCATGGCAGGGCCAGCGGGGCAGGGCACAGGGGAGGAAGGGGGCGGCGCTGTGCCCTCCCTTGACCTCCAACACACTAAGTTGCATTTGAGTCGACTCAAAAGGGGGGCGGCGCTGGTGCCCTCCCGTCGACCTCCAACACACTAAGTTGCGCTGGCCCTCCTTCGGTGGTAACCGCACGGACTGACCTGCTTCCCTGCCTTTGATGTCTTCGCCCCCCACTCGCTACCCTGCGCCCGCACTCCCCAACCCCCGCACGGCCACTGCTCAGGACGACTTTGGGGAGGTGGGAGGGGGGAGCGACGATCATCCAGAGCAGCCCCGAGAGTAAAGAGCCGCCACTTCATGGCAGGGCCGGTGGGGCAGGGCACAGGGGGAGGAGGGGGGCGGCGCCCTGCCCTCCCTGGACCTCGAAAACGCCAAGTTCCGCTGGCCGTCGTGCGGTGGTAACCTCATGGTCTGGACTGTTTTTCCTGCCACTAATTTTTTCCCTCTCCCCTTCCCCCCCCCTCCCTTCTCCCCTGCACCTGCAACCCCCAAACCCTGCCCGCCCACGTGCCATCAGGACGACTTTGGGGAGGTGGAGGGGGGAGCGACGATCATCCAGAAACAGTCCCTAAAGCAAAGAGCCGCCGCTCATGGCAGGGCCGGTGGGGCAGGGCACAGGGGAGGAGGGGGGCGGCCGCCCTGCCCTCCCTGGACCTCGAAAACGCCAAGTTCCGGTGGCCGTCGTGCGGTGGTAACCGCACGGACTGGGTGCCGTGCTGGACAATGAGAAGGCGATCAAGGCGCTGAGGACGAACAAGCACTATGAGCACCGCGAGAGGCACTGCCCGCTGCCTGGCGAGATGGAGAAATGCCTGGTGCCGCTGCCCCAAGGGGTACAAGGCTCATGTGCCGTGGCCCGAGAGCAGAGACCAGGTGAGACGCGGTGCTGTGCGGTGAAACGTGGTGAAATGGACAGTGTGTTGGGGTAAAGTGGGGTGAATTGGGGGAAACAAGCACTATGAGCACCGGGAGAGGCACTGCTCCGTTCTGGGAGAGATGGAGAAGTGTTTGGTGCCACTGCCCAAGGGGTACAAGGCTCATGTGCCGTGGTCCGAGAGCAGAGAACCAGGTGAGGACGCGGTGGAGCGGGGTGAGGAAGCGGTGAAGGGGGCATATTGACAATAGTGGCACTCTGCAATACACCCATTTAGGGTTATTCCCTCCATGTTATCCATGTGGCCCTGTATTCCCTGGCACCCTTCTGTTGCTCTCCCACCATCTCCTTCCTCTAGGGTCCGCCTCCCCTCCCGCACAGGGTACGTGAATCTTTACACGGCTGCCGCTCGCCTGTCCCTTCCCTCTTCCGCCACACCTTCCTAGCGCTGCTTCTCAACTCCCTCTTCTTCTCCTTCTGCAACTCTCTTTTCTCCTCCCCACCTTTCCCACAGGTGTGGTAGGACAACGTGCCGCACCCGGGCCTGGCGAGCTACAAGCTGGGTTCTAAAGCGCGCCATAGTTTGTCTCAAATGCCTCCTCTCCCCTCTCGTAACTGCCTCCTCTCCCCCCTCCCTTCCCCTCTCAACAGGTGTGGTACGACAACGTGCGCACACCGGGCCTGGCGAGCTACAAGCTAGGTACTAAAGCGCGCCATAGTTTGTCTCAAATGCCTCCTCTCCCCTCTCGTAACTGGCCTCCTCCTCCCCCCTCCCTTCCCCTCTCAACAGGTGTGGTACGACAACGTGCCGCACCCGGGCCTGGCGAGGCGAGCTACAAGCTGGGTTCTAAAGCGCGCCATATTTTGTCTCAAATGCCTCCTCTCCCCTCTCGTAACTGCCTCCTCCTCCCCCTCCCTTCCCCTCTCAACAGGTGTGGTACGACAACGTGCCGCACACCGGGCCTGGCGAGCTACAAGCTGGGTTCTAAAGCGCGCCATAGTTTGTCTCAAATATGCCTCCTCTCCCCTCTCGTAACTGCCTCCTCCTCCCCCCTCCCTTCCCCTCCCTCAACAGGTGTGGTACGACAACGTGCCGCACCCGGGCCTGGCGAGCTACAAGCTGGGTTCTAAAGCGCGCCATAGTTTGTCTCAATGCCTCCTCTCCCCTCTCGTAACTGCCTCCTCCTCCCCCCTCCCTTCCCCTCTCAACAGGTGTGGTACGACAACGTGCCGCACCCGGGCCTGGCGAGCTACAAGCTGGGTTCTAAAGCGCGCTGTAGGTTTGTCTCAAATGCCTCTTCTCCTCTCTCGTAAACTGCCCCCTTCCTTCTCCCTTCCCCGCTCAACAGGTGTGGTATGACAACGTGCCGCACCCGGGCCTGGCGAGCTACAAGAAGGATCAGAACTGGGTGGCGATGGAGGGAGACAAGCTTGTGTTCCCGGGGGTGGCACGCAGTTCACCCATGGCGCCACGGGGTACATCAAACTTCCGTCCAGAAGGTACGGTGCGAATTCGGTGCAGTGCGGTATGGTGTGATGCGGTGCAGGTGTGGTATGGGGCCTGGCGCGCTACAAGAAGGATCAGAACTGGGTGGCAATGGAGGGAGACAAGCTTGTGTTACCAGGCAGGGGCACGCAATTCACCCATGGCGCTACGGGGTACATCAACTTCGTCCAGAAGGTATGGTGGTGCAGTGCGGTGTGGTGTGGTGTGGTGTGGTATGGTGTGATGCAGAGTAATATTGATGCAGTATGTTACGGTGTGGTGTGGTGCAGCAATTTGCGGCACCCAGGCCTTGCGAGCTACATCAAGGGATCACAACTGCTTCCTGCATGGGGTAATAGAATTCACCAACTTCATCCAGAAAGTGCATTGCCCGTGCGACGCAGTGTGGTGTGGTGCGTTAGGATATGGTGGCCCCTGAGAGGTGACAATGGGTAGTGCGTGCCGTTTTCGACATAAGCTGTGGGCTGGGGTGGTATGGTGCATCATTATCAGACCCTCGTTCCCTTCCTGTGGTATGTGGCATGGGCCATAGAAGACCATGCTAATCCCGTGCTAGTCTTCTGGGCACATGCATGTCGTGGTATGGAGTAACGAGTAACTTTTCGCCAACCACAAGTTGTTTTATGTCGAACAGACCATTTTGATGTCATACTTACCTGCCAGACTACCCACCTCTCTTCTCCACGTCCATCCCCCTTTCCCGCGACACTCCTCTAACCAACCACCACAGGGCTTCCCAAACGTGGGGCAAGTGCATGCGAAACATGGGCTGTGGGTGGCCTGGGTGAACAACTTTTTGATTGGGGCTTGTACCTGATTTCTCAAACACTCCCTCCCACCAATTCAGGCCTTCTCCGATGTGGCGTGGGTGGGGCAGGCGAAGTGCGCGTGATGCTGGACATGGGTTGTGGCGTGGCGTGGGCTGAGGTAACCAACTCCTTACACCCCCCCCACACCCCCCCACATCCCTCCAACCAATTCAGGCCTTCTCCGACGTGGCGTGGGGTAGGCGAGTGCGCGTGGTGCTGGGCATGGGCTGTGGCGTGCATTGCGAATACCAGTCTGTGCTGGCATGTGTAATCCTTACCCGTTCTCCCCTGCCCGTATCTGCACACCCCACCAGGCCTTCGCCGATGTGGCGTGGGGCAGGCGAGTGCGCGTGATGCTGGACATGGGCTGTGGCATGGGCTGAGGTAACCAACGCCTTACACCCCCCACACCCCTTCCAACTACTTCAGGCCTTCGCCGACGTGGCGTGGGGCAGGCGAGTGCGGGTGATGCTGGACATGGCTGTGGTGTGGCGAGCCTGTCAGCATATCTGGACGCGTTTGACGTGCGAGTCATGTCCATGGCACCCAAGGACGAGCACGAGGCACAGGTGAGGGCAGCACATGTGCGGGACGAGCTGTGTTCACAGGGTATGAAGCTGGGGTGAGGCAAGAGTTGATGTCTCAAGCATGGCGAGCCTGTCAGCATACCTGGAGGCGTTTGACGTGCGGGTCATGTCCATGGCGCCCAAGGACGAGCACGAGGCACAGGTGAGGAGAGAGGTCACGTTTTATCAGGTGAGGAGAGAGGTCACGTCATCAGGTGACTTGCGGGTCATGTCCATGGCGCCCAAGGACGGGCACGGGCACAGGCAGGTGAGGGCGAGGGGGTGGATGGCACAGGCACAGGGAGCAAGTTCCTTTTGGGCTATCGGGCGAATGGTTGAGAGTTGTGGTGAAGGTTTGAAGCCTGTCAGCATACCTGGACTGGAGGCGTTTGACGTGCGGGTCATGTCCATGGCTCCCAAGGACGGCACAGGTAAGGAGAGAGGGCATGCTGTAGGGCTGTGATGGGTTGTGATGGGTTGTGATGGGTTATGATTGGTCCGATGGTTGCCAGTGGTGGTTCTGTGTGAGGTTGGTGCCTCAGATGTCCCTGGTTTCATCAGCGGTTTCTTCACTCCCTGCTAGTTTTAGATTCAGTTGGCTTTGGGAGGGAGAGCGCAGGCAGTGACAGTGATAACGGGCACGCAACCGACTGCCTTCATGCTTCATTGCAAGTTCCCTGTTTCAACCGCCGCCACTCCAACCGTTACCACCCCTAACTCCCCCCTCACCCCCTCCTCCACGTTCCTTCACCATTCAGATCCAGTTAGCTCTGGGGCAGGGAGTGCTGGCGGTGGTGGGCGTGATGGGCACACAGCGCATGCCCCTTACCCTTCAAGTCCCCTGTTTCAACCGCCGCCACCCTGATGTTACCAACCCCCCAACTCCACCCCTGCTCCTTTTTTCGTCCACTTCAGATTCAACTGGCTCTAGAGCGAGGGGTGCTAGCGGTGGTGGGGGTGATGGGCACACAGCGCCTGCCCTTCTCCTCCAACTCCTTTGATGCCGTGCACTGCGCTAGATGCCGTGTGCCATGGCACATTGATGGTGGGTGGGGGATCATTCCCAATCAAGCATGTGTGCATGCACTCCCTCTCTCACTGTGCCTTCCCTTCTCCTCCAACTCCTTGATGCTGTTCACTGCGCTCGATGCTGTGTGCCATGGCACATTGATGGTGGGTGGGGGATCATTCCCAATCAAGCATGTGTGCATGCGCTCCCTCTCTCACTGTGCCTTCCCTTCTCCTCCAACTCCTTGATGCTGTTCACTGCGCTCGCTGCCGTGTGCCATGGCACATTGATGGTGGGTGGGGGAGCATTCCCAATCAAGCATGTGTGCACGCGCTCCCTCTCTCACTGTGCTTCCCCTCTCCTCCAACTCCTTGATGCTGTTCACTGCGCTCGCTGCCGTGTGCCATGGCACATTGATGGTGGGTGGGGGAGCATTCTCATGCCCGCATGTGATCTGTGCACACACATAAGCATTGTCCTCTTGCAGCGCCTGCCTTTCTCTTCCAACTCCTTTGACACCGTGTACTGCACTCGAGCCTCGTTGCCGCGTGCCATGGTGCATCGATGGGGGGTAGTGTCATGCAGTGCATGCTTGTGTGCACACACTCTACTCTACACATGCTCCCTCCATACAAACGCACACATCCCCACATGCACATGCACTGCACATGCACATCCAAACCCGTCTCGCTCTTGAGCTCCCTGCTATTCTCCTCCAGCTCCTTTGATACCATGCACGACTTTTGAGGCGCCTAAAAAAAAGGTCATATCATGGCGCCTCAAAAGTCGTCCCTGCCATTCTCCTCCAGCTTCTTAAATGCCATGCACGCACTCGCTGCAGCGTGCGATGGCAAATTGATGGTGGTTGGAAAAGCACTCTTATAGACATGAGTGCACACATGTATGCACGCACACACACCAGAGTTCTCTCACTTGGTGAATCTCCTTTCCAAGCCACATGAATTCGCTCCCATTTTTCGATCTTCCCAAATGCCGCGTGTATGTTTCCAGGTGGCATGCTGCTATTGGAGCTGAACCGAGTGCTGAGCCAGGAGGCTTCTTCATCTGGTCGGCCACGCTGTGTACCGCCACAAGGGGGATGACGAGGAGATCTGGAGCGGTGAGTGCATGGCATCATGAGTGCATGGCATGGTGGATGGGTGGAGGTAGGATTGCACACAGGCCTCATTAACATATGGCATAGGCCCATGCTTCATCTGGTCGGCCACGCCTGTGTACCGCCACAGGGGAATGACGAGGAGATCTGGAGCGGTGAGTGTTCGGCATGGCGGGGTGAATGCACGGAGGGGTGAGTGGGTGGAAGGAGTAGCCTGCCTTTCAGTGCATGGAAAAGGCTCGTGCTTCATCTGGTCGGCCACGTCTGTGTACCGCCACAAGGGGGATGACGAGGAGATCTGGAGCGGTGAGAATGGGTGCCTGGTGAATAGAGTGAACTAGACTCGTGTGAATGTATGGATTAAGCTCGTGCTTCATCTGGTCGGGCCAGACGGGGAATGGGAGATGGAGAATGGGAGATGGGGAATGGGAGATGGGGAATGGAGATGGGGAATGGGAGATGGGGAATGGGAGATGGGGAATGTGAGATGGGGAATGGAGATGGGGAAGGAGATGGGGATGGTGGAGATGGGGAATGGGAGATGGGGAATGCATG